TATCAGCTACTTACAAGTTTCCCCTAGCTTCTTATTGTAATGGCATTTTGTTTAGTGTGTTGCTTTGGGTGAACAATAAATAACAGTCATAAATGGAATAGATTAGTAATTGAATAATCAATGGATTGCTCTTTTAACTACTACATAGATTTTATTTCTATCAATGATTCAAACTTTTTTCTTTCTAGTTTTCCTGATGAATAACAAAGATGTCTCTAGGGAGATGGGGATAATCTCAATTATCAATGGTTATCAGGACAAGGAAAAATATGGTACTCATGGACAGAGTGTATGTGGTCTGCCTCGTGGCAGACATGTGACTCTTTATAGGGATATATAAGTACTATAATCCTCCTTTATTAAAAACTATAAAAAAGAATGAACATACCAGCAAGTACACATAATTAGAGGTAGCCTTTTGCTACCTCTTTGATTTGGCCAATTCAAATCTTAGTTGTCATGTTGTAAGTGAGTCCCATAGTTTCTCTTGGCAAACGACAAGAAATAGTATGCTCATGATGGATGTGGGGATAGGGTTACCCCAGTTGTTGCTTTCGGTGATGCCAAAGTGAAAATTACAGTGTAACAGTCAGTCCAAACCTTAACAGGGTCATACGAATCTAGATGAAACGCTCTTTTATATTTTTCCCTTTTATTACCGATGAAAGGCAACTCATGTTTGAAAGAATTTAGACAGGGTCGAGTAAAAAATATTAAGATTACGCTTTTGATTGTTTTCTGTTCTTCATTTTGGGCAGCTCTTACCTATTTTTGGATAGGTATCACTACTAGTACTAACACCTATATTATGATCCTATCTTACGAGCATTTCTGAAAGTATTGTGGGATACTAAAAGATTCAGCTTTCGGTGTCAACTGCTGGACTAGTTTCCCTGCAGCCCCCAATCTCTCACTGTTTCAAGCGGGGGAGAGGGGGGAAGCTGGTTAGCCATCCTTTTTCAGAAAACCTCGAGAGGGCTTTTATTTGCTTGAACAGTCATAGTGATATCATCATCTACTAGTCTGAAACCACATCAACTGGATGGCAAGTATTGCTATTCTTATAAGCTGTGCAAACACAGATTCATACCCATGTGGCCCCTTGAACCTTGACTGATGAATGAAGATTGCAGATCATTGATTTCATGAGGAAAGCCGAACAACGTTTTCACGGAGAGTAATGGGACTGGCACCAAGTGTCAGATAGGCTGGCAAAATTGAGTGCCCGAGTCCGTTAAACTCAATCTGAACTTCAAGTGCTCAGATTAGGGTGCGTATTTAATTTTAGTGACTTCAAGTAGGGGCATATGCTATCCCAGACTAAGTGGACAATCCCATGGCCCATGACCATGGACCTTACTTTTCTTTTTCTTGTAATTTAATCAACATGAGCTACTTGGATAGAGCTTTCTGTCAAGTCATCTCGATTTTGTAATAATTTCATGTTCTTAATACATGTACCTCTAATTAGATCAATACAGTCATGAATCAGGACAATACAAGAATGAATCACCTCAACCTCTCGATGCAGAAGGGTTGAGAAGCCTGCCATTGAAAGTTCCTCAAGGCCGAAGAAGCCTGTCAAGTATCAGGGCTTGATGGGCCTACTTTATTTTTTTCCTCTCAGGATGATAATTCGGCCTGGATCGACCTACAAAAATTTGCTTGTCTGAGGCCTTTTTGTCTTGCTTTCTCCTTCTCAACCCTAGTAAAAACACTTGCGCTCAGGACCCCATATTTCATCTGTTCAGCCACAAAAAACTACAACCTAGAAGCTAAGATGTCAACATTTGCAGTTGTGTGCAGAACATGGTTCGGCAGCAAGCCAGCAAACCTAAGACAATTGAATTGACTCTATATCTACAATAATCACGATTTTCCTTTTCAGTTGATTAAATTTGTTATATCTTGTAGTGGTACTTATGCAAGGCACATAAATGCCACCTCCTGGCTACTTTTACACTGTCTTTCTGTTTTTTGTGTCTTATTTTTGTAATTGAACCCTACCGAATTGGATAAATGAAACGATATTTATGAAAAGAATGTTTAAAATATCAGGTAGAAGGGAGATGGTCTTTCCATTTCAGCTCTGCCAAAGAGGAAAAATCCAAGTCACTGTCATTAAGATGAACTGGCTCAGCGCAACTAACCCCCCCAAAAGAACCCCCCTAATTTATGTGGTCAAACCGACCTACCTTTGATATATTTGCTAATATTACCACATTTTCCTCTATACCTACCCGCACCCATCTTTAATTAGAAGCCTTCTTGTTTAGGGTGCTTCAATTAACATCATATGTATACTTGTTAGTTAAGTAAATTATTTCGATGCTAAAACAGTAAAAATTCATGCAGCCTGTTGTTAATTACATCCCCAAGTACAGTTAAGTGGAATAGGATTTTTTCTCTTTCGGAGGGGAAGGGGAGAGGGTTCCTATGTCAAATACATCAAGATTGCAATTGTTTTATAAACGTGCCTAGTTGTATGCATCTACCCTTTTCCAAGTTCATAAATGGTGTTTGCTCCTTGAAAGGAGCAGCTGGAAACACCAGAAAACAGCCCCTTCCCACTCCTCCCTACCCATCATGGAATGGAAGTGGCCCAACGTGGTCCCTTTCTCACACTCTGCACCTTTCTTTGTTTATTTTTATTTTTATTTTCACAGCGCTTTACTTGCCAGGTTTACGTAAACCAGAATTAGATTCACCTCTCATTTTCACTTTTATTTATTTTTTTTTTAAATTGTTAGTGCAGCTCAGGATACTGGCAATAAGTATCAACTTCAATGTGGGCATCAATGATTCTGATCTGACCTTGTGTTGGGGGGTGCAAATCTTTGGGTATATTTTTCCCAACGTTCCCCAAAACTCTCCATCTCCCTGAATTGATGGAAACTTTTTTCCCCCTCACTTCTTCAGTTTTCAACCCTTTCCCATCTTTTTTGGCTTTCCTCTTGTCCTTTGTATGATCCACAACAATGTAATTAGGGTTTACACATTTGTAAATTGGGAAAGAAGTGATTCAAGAGAAACCCATTTTTTCTTCCTTAATACACATGCTTAGTAAGTGAATAATGACTTGAAATATTTGCAGAATTTTCCCAAGAGTATGGGGACCAAATGTCTATTTTGCATGGGTTAATCTGATTTTGTTGATCCTAAAGAAGGAATTAAGGATAAATACAAGTGAGGGGGTGGGGACATAAAACACAAAAGATAAGGGTATATTTCACTGACAATGTACTTAAAACATAATTTTGTACCTGACAAAACAACACCTGTGGTGCCAAGTTTTGTATAATCTAATTTGGGTCATGCTAGCCTGACCTATTGCCTCTTGCTATCCCTACCCCCCTCCAAGCAAATAAGATAGAAGGCTTTTCATTATCCATTCTCAAAATGCATTTTACAAATGAATTTAGTACTTCACATTTAAAATTATTGTAAACAAGCTAAATTAAATATTTATTAACACATTAATGATTACTTAACGATTCAATTAATGTTAAATGTGATTAAAATTAGTAGTAGAACTTTAACAAATACCATCTTTAAGATAATTGACAATGTTTCTGATAATAATCTTAAGAAATCTCCATAGAAAGGTTCTTAGTTAGACTTAAAATGAAGAACTAATGAAGAATGACTTTTGAATGATTTTTCTACTAAACTATATGAAATTTATTCATTAAAAGATTATTTCAATTAAAAAAGATAAAAATAGAGATGTCTCACTTGATATCCCTTTCATAATTTTATATCATGTATCTCATAAATTTTTTATGGTCGGATTTAAAATTTAAGGTTTGAACTTATGATTTGAGTTTAAAGTTTAGAGTGTAAGGATTTTAGTTAATAATATAAGATTGGACATATGATGTAAAATTATGAAAATAATATCAAATGAAACATTAAAAAAAGTAAGGATTTGCATTCAATATTTATAGTACTAATATCTTTTAAGGGAAAAAAATTAAGAATTATCATGACAAATTTTTTATCTTATATATATTAAAAAATCAAGAATCCCTCCCATAAAGTCCTATGGGTATCAAAGGGCAAAGTAATATGCAATAATGATAAATAAATATAAAAGTAATATTTTACATAATAATAATAATAAAATTAAATGATGAGTAGTAATTGTTTGATATGATATGATCTTAACCATACCTTAGTCAGACTCAAAGGTTGCATAAGTCAATGCCAAATATTGAAACTTTTATTGACAATTTCCATTTTCTCTCTCCTCTCTCTGGCCCCACCCATTTTGTCTGAAATTCCACACACCACCAATCGCATGTTACCACATGGACTTCCTCACTATTCGACCTGGCACTCTCGCTTCTAGCGCGTGTCTCTGGCCTTGGTCCTCTAATCAACCGTTCAAGCATCACCGGATATTATAATTTGAGAGATAACAAGAAACCAAAAATACGTTTTTTATTTGATGCTATATATTATATATTATAAAAATTTAAAGAAAATTATGAATATTGGACCAATCAATTCAATTTAAGTAGTATTAATAAATTATTTTTTTTTGAATTTATTATTGCATATTGCTTTCGTCAACAAAATTCTATGATCAATAAATAAATTTGATTGGTGTTGTGATAGTACAAATGTTGGAAAGGAAAGTTGGTCAAAGTTGTTTTGGCTTAATATTAAATGATTTTATGGTGACTTATATCCTTTAAATGCTAATAATTCAATCAAATTTATAGCCATTAATTACCACAGATGATGATCTTCCTAATCTAATATTAAACCATATAGATGTAGTCAAACAATAAAATTGCTTAGTATTTTTCAAGTAGCTAAAAGATAAAGTTTCCTTCACAATTTACCATGTACTAGGTGAGCTCTTGGTTCATAATTTATTCATTGGACAAGGAAAATGAATATATTAATGATGGAGGCGCGTGTCGAGCACAGGCATAAAGCAGGCAATGGGGGTTAAACACAACTAAAACAACTCCCAAAGTCCCCACCAAAACATTTCTTACCAAACCGAAAATTGAAGTACCAAAAACCATCTCGCCTTCGCATCTAAATCTCTTCAGTCTCTCCCCTCTTTCCTCCTCCGTTTCCCTTCTTCAACCCCTTTCCGTCCCAAGATCAAAAGACGCCCTCAAAAAAAAAAAAAAAAGAAGGAAAGAAACAAAGCTAAATGGAAACCTCTCCAAGGCCGAGCCCAAACCCGAATTTCCTTGCATCTCCCAAGAGCCACAGTCCCAACAGCAGCACCAGCAGCACAAGCAGCAGCAACAACACCAACCCACCGCCGCCAACTCCGCCAGCTCAACAGCCTAAGCCATCACCAGATGCGAATCCGCCAATCCGTACCCGACAACTTTCGTCCAAGCCGACACTTCCTCTTTTAAACAAGTCGTCCAGATGCTCACGGGATCCTCCGAGACCGCCAAGCTTGCTTCATCCACCAAACCAAACACCTCCGCTCAATCCGACCCTAGCCCGAAAACCCACATCCCTCCCATCAAATCCATCCCAAAAACAAGCAAAATTCTGGGTTCAGGCTGTACGAGCGAAGGAGCTCTCTCAAGAACCTCAAGATCAACCCGTTGAACCCGGTTTTTGGCTCCAACAATTCCGGCTTTTCGCCTCGCAAACCTGAAATACTCTCCCCTAGCATTCTGGACTTCCCTTCTTTGGCTCTTAGCCCTGTTACTCCCTTAATACCAGACCCGTTTGACCGATCTGGACCTGGAAATTACACGAATTGTTTTAACAATAATGCGAAACTAGACAAGGAAGCTGAAGAGAAGGCAATTAAAGAGAAGGGTTTTTATTTGCATCCATCACCGGCATCTACGCCGCGAGATTCGGAGCCTAGGCTTCTCCCTCTTTTTCCAGTTACTTCACCTAGAGTTTCAGGTTCTTCTACTTCTTCTTGAAATAAAAAGAATCATTTTTAGTTTTTTTGTTTTTGCTTTTTTTCTTTTATGCTGCTGTTGTTGTAAGATTTTTATATATTGTTGGGGCAGTGAAGATGGGGAATCGGAAAGGAAGGGAAAAACAAGAGATAAGATTTGTAATGTTGGATATTTTGAGAGGAATGAAGAGAAAATCTTTGCTTCAATTGTAAAATTTTATGCTTGTTTGACTTTTATTTTCCCTCTTTGTTATGTTTGTATGCTAGGAAATTTGAGCTAAGAACAATAAGAAAATAAGCTTAGTGAATTAAGGAATTAAACTTTGGTATTTTGAGAAATTATGGTGCTTTTTGTAGAGGTTAATTTATATGGATGACTGTGAATTGAAGGGGAGAATCAGTGGTTTTTACTCCCTCTGGTAATTCTTTTTCTATCAATAAATACAAAAGATAAGTGACTGGGAGTCTGGGATCCCAATCAGTTCTAGTGCCTTTTTTAAGACATTAATAAACATTGTAAGAAGTGCAGATGAACAGAGAGAGAGAAAGAGAGAGGAACTGGAATGGGAAAAGTTTTGTTTGTATCAAATGGCAAAAGCAACTTTGAGGCTAGCTGTCAAAGAAAGAGTAGATAATTGGGCAAGGAATCTTGACTCTTTTGTTTTGTTTTTCCTTTGTGAGGGAAAAAAAAAAGATGCCAACGGAGGCAGGCAATTTCTGTGTGTTTTTCTTTTTTAAAAAAGAGAAAATTCTAACTTTTTATGCACTCTTGATTGCCTTATTTATTGATTGTTAGTACATCTACTGTTTCTACTTCCTCAAACTGTGGTCTAGGCTGTTTAATGCAACAATTTATAGTCTACTATCTTGACCTTATGGGTAGATCCACCATAAGGGGTCATTATAGAAAAAATGTCACCATTGGATATGAAATGGGCCCCATTCAATCTTGCCATCTGATGCAACTTTTTAATACTGAAAAATTTTAAAAGTTACTTATGATTTTTGGTCATAGGGGTTGTCTGTTGATATATATATATACATAAGTGTAGTGGGCTCTATTCTATAAGAAAAGTAGTAATAAATCTAGTGGACTTGATGACCAATTTGGTACCATTTCAGCCACACAAGGGTATTTTATTAGGACAGTGAATTCTAGGTCCCACTTGGATAAGGGCTGGAAGGAAAGAGAAAGCAAGCAATGACCCCTTTTTCTTTTTCTTGGCGTTGCCTGAGTAAGAGGGGTACTTTAATATACAAGGAAACTTTGAATTGTTGCAAAAGCAATCATGCAAAGTTAGTTCTTCTTTCTTTGAATCTTGCACTTAAACATTGTTTTAAGTCCCTACTTTTTGACTCAAAAGAGACCAAACTGTAGTGAATGGAGACATGAGAAAGTGCAGGTGGGAGGGGAAGTGGGACTCGTGATGATGAAAGGCAAGAAAGAGGAGAAAAAAAAAAAAAAGAAAGAGAAAGATCTGTGATTAAAATGGGAAAGCCAGAAAACATGGGCTGTGGTCACCTCTTACATTTGTTTTGTTTTGTCTTCCTTTGTTTGTTTGTGTGAATATATATTGGTTTGTAGACTGTGTAGCCCTGTGGTTGGTGGGTCATTTATTGGCAATTTTGAAACTTCCATGTGCACTGTTTTGAGACTCTTTACCTAATTATCAGATCAGGTCCTCTTCTCCCCTTCACTGTGAAAAAGGCCAACCCATTGTTTACACATGGCGGGCCCTCAGCTCATCCATCAAACCCATCTTTCTTCCCGTAAAATCTGTTCATCCAACATACCATAACCTTGATTCATAGCATTTGACAGTGTGTATCACTCTGTTGGGATGTATGTTGATGAGAGTGTAAGAATCATCAAAGAATTCCCATTTGCAAACGAATAATTGAGATGAACCGTTAAAGTCTTGTTAAAATAGATTTTAATGATTCAAATCGAATATGGTGTCATAGCCATTGAAAGTTGCTTTGCGGCCATTGCAGCATCACTGCTGAATGCTGAAGCTGATCAAATTCATGTTGCACATTGTTTTATTTATGGATGACGTGTAAAGAAGCTTTTACAAAAAACAAATGTCGTGGTTGAAACTTGGAAACCTGAAAGATGCCATTACCGTCCATAGAAGAAGGAAATGAGCAAAAATGGCACCACGCGTTTATTCCCACTATCAAAGATGATAAGGATACGTAAGGCTTCACATTCCCTGGACAGAAAAAAAAAAAAATCTTCCTGAGAATTTTGTTTAAATCCTCGTAGGATTAACCTTTGTTAACACCCAAAAGATATAAAAGAAAGATAAGAACTAGGTTACCTATGAATTGACAAGTTAACAAGTTGACAAACAGACAGGGTGGGAGGTACTAAAAACTTAACAATACAAATATTACAAAATGTTAAAGACTTTGAAAGGGGCGTACAAGAGGACAGGAGTGAGTGAGTGTAATGGGATGAAGACACTGGGTAGATAAAAGAGGACCCAAAAAGCATAATTTGATTGGAAAGATTGTTTGGCAACTGCGATTGGGACAATCTGAATTATTGACCAAACCCCTGGAATTGCCTCTGAAGTTATACGTCTGTCTCTTGCTTGGATGCTTGTGTGGCCGCAAAGTCTAACCCGAAATTTGAGGTCTGATCCCTCCTCCTCGTGTTGCTGACGTACTGCTCTGCTAGGCTCCTTTCCTTTTTCATTTTAGATATAAATATTCCATGGAAAAAAAGATTTACACGCAGATCTTATTCTTATTCTAGTAAGAATAAGAAGAAACATCAAGTTTTTGGGTATCAGGTGGCTGCAAAATTGCACCCTGACAATCAATTCATTCCATTAGTGATCTTCAAGCTATACAATGAAAAAGTTGAGACTTCCTCTCTGAAATTTGTTTCATTAACAAGCAATTAAGTTCAGTCAAAGGAATGATCTTTCTGAAATGGAGCAGGTCACCCTGATTTGCAAGCCTTCCACCTTTTGTCAGCAGAGTATTTTAACGTCTACTATATATATATAGTCAATAACATGTTTATATGCAGAATTCTTACGTATAAAAGAAATTGTATTTAAAGTTATAATCATTCAAACATTGAGAGTGATATATATCTTTAATTAAACAATACTGCAACTATTACATATTCATCTAGGCTTAAATAATGATTATCATTAGAAGGAAAACATGGACGTAGAGGGAAAAACCTACCAAGCTCTCATTAGATTTGGAATACTACAGTATTATTTTATTCTAGCCTTCATTTCCTTTGTTTTTTTAATTTCCTCCAGAAAATACATATTTAAAATAATTAATAAAGAATTAGTGCAAATTACAAAAGCAAGAACACCTTGACCCCCTTTTGCACTACCCTTTTAACACATATGGAACATATATTTATGACCAAAAACAAGCCAAAATACAAATGATAACTTTGTTTAACAAGAAAGAATTAGTTAAGAAGAAGAAGAAGGGAATTTAGAGGAGGAAATATTGCAAGCTCGATGACTCGAGAAATTTTGTTTTTGGGGGTTTCTCTCTCTCGGGTGAACTTTCTCTTCAACTAGTGTACCTATAGCAATGGGTAATGGCGCTGCAACCACGGTTGTAAGGGTTAGCTCTTTTCTTGTTCTGACAGTTGTAGTAGGAGTTTCCACGACGGTTGCATGGGACTGAGTTGGCCTTAAGGGCACCGTAGCTAATGTATCTTTTCTGAGCAAGTTGGCGACGATTTATCTCGGAATCCATCAATGTCTCGGTGAGATCTTCAACATCACACTGTCCGTCAATGCATGAACTTAGTTCGTCGTTGCCAAAATGGGTGAGACCCCAGCTGGCCTCGTGAAACGTGGTGGACTCGGCCACCATTGCCAAGGCCAAGAGAAGGAAGACCAGCCAGACCTTGGAACCCATTTCGGGAACGTTGGAAAAGAAGAAAACAAAATGCTAACTTTCTGAACGAAAGAAAAGTTGGAAGAGAGAGAGACAGAGACAGAGACAGAGAGGGTTGTAATGCCTACGCCCTGCCCTTCCTGATAAAGGAGGGGAAGAGAAAGATATAGAACGAATGCGGGATGACTGTGAGCTTCTTTGGCATAAAAAAAGAGCAAAGACGGGGGAAATTTAGAGGGTGGGATTAGTGGTTCATAATTTTGTTGATTTAAAGCTCATTTTTTGAGGGTGCCCGTTTCTTGCGCCCTGTTTTTCTCTTGGTCTCCGGGTGATGTTCTTTTTTGGGGTGTTTTGCCATATAAAACCTAGCTGTTTCTTCAACTGCCAATGCCTGTAATTGGAATGTTAAAACCATCATAGTCATTCAAGCTCCCTAATTGGCTAACCTCAATGGGTGGCTGCCAAGAACAAATTGAAACAGAGGATGGAATTGGAGGCACCCTAGAAATATATGGTTCACAAAACTTATGCTAAGGTTATGTTCATCTGTTTATTATAACTATTTTCTAATGAATATCAAAAACAAGCTTAGAATCATAGGTTTCTAAGCAATAGAGTCTGCAAAAACCTGATGAGAAGGTTAGAACTATTGACTAATTTTTGCCTGTATTCTGCATTCAGAGCCTGATTTTGTACATAAGGGGCGCTCATCCATGGGCCTGGTGGCATGACATGGTTTTCCATTTGATCCAAGGGCTGCCTAAATCTTATGACAAATTGGGCTAAGTTAGTGATGGACAAAGAACCTGAGCCCAAGAGGTAATACCGGCTGGTTTGGGACAAGCCCAATCATCGCTGTAGTAATTGGGTTTCAGTTAAGCTGATATTGTTGCCGCAACGTAACCTAGAAAGGACGGTTTTCTCGAGCACAATATTCTTACCTTGGCTACCACATGACTTCCCTCACCTGAAGTCTCCTCTCCCACTTTGGCAGGGAAAACCCAAACTAGTAGTAAAGTACAAGGCAGAGTGACTAGACCTTGGTAAGGATTGTCTAAGAATCCTGAGACTTGGAGGAGCCACTACTTGACCAATATTTGTTAAGAAAATTAGTAAAAAAGTTGCCTTCAAGCAAAGTTTGCTGAAGTTCTAGACTTGAACTCATCACCTTTCTACACTCCAATAAGTCTATTTGTACATGTAATTTTAGATGTCGACTTATTACGAAGATAAATAAAAATTTAAAAGGAAGAACTACTCTTTACTTTTAAGTCAAAAATATTTAAAAATGATAATATTATCTTCACAACTTGGGTTTTTAACAATGTTCATTTGCTTACCAAAAAAGGGGGAACTGAATTATTATGCTCGTTTTTGGTAAAAAAATTTACCCAAATGGATTAGTCAAATTGCCATGATCGGATGTCGACCATAACATAAACCAACAACTCCAGGCCGCATGCTTGCAACACCGCGAGTAGCACTACTCCATGGCCATGGCACTGGCCCATGGGCGAGGTGTACAAGTATTTCATTTTGTTGAGAAAATATAAAAGAACTAAAGGTAAAACCATAGCCCAAACTATTTTGGGGTTGTGCTTATTGCTTTAGTCGCAATAGCTTCATAGCTTTCCCAAGGATGACATGTACACCCTATCAAGGCAAATATCTATCTAATAGGAAGATGATGATGAAGTTCCAGATATTTCATTTCAGATTTCAAACAATTATCTTTCTGCTCCAATTGAAAATTAAATGCGATGGGACCCCAAACATGCCAATCATTCAAAGCAGGAAGCAATTAGATATTATCGAGGAACTATCTCGAGTTTAGTTTCCAAGTTAGGGAACTGATGACTCGTCACAACAAGGAACAAAAAAAAATCCGTAGCAGAAGTGTGAATGGTGAAGTTACAAGTGAAATCAGGAACATACATGGGGTAGTCCCCACGTTTACCAGCGAGATTATTGTCAATCCTGATCATAATCAATCTCCTCGATGGCAATCTTTTAGCTCAAATCTAATTCGTATTAGGGGTTGAGACACACTGGAGGTGGAATTTTCTTGACAGGGAGCAATCAATGAGCTTTGAATGTGGCTTGAAAGCTTGCAAACCAGCAACCTAACCACAACTACGTAGACCCAAGTCCAAGTGCATTTTTTATTTGGTTGATCCATTGCACCCTTGTTCTCTTTACCATTGTCTAAATCAGGGCGGAGATAGAACATCTTTTAAAAGAGAGTCAAACAGAAAAAACTATTAAATAGTTAAAGAAAATTTTATATATAATTTAATTATTATTTATTTAAAAAATTTAAATTAAATTTAAAATATGTTAGATATATAAAAAATATTCATTAACAGTAATAATAATGTCATTTATATATATTACTAAATGTAACTATAAAAAGAATTTTTCTCACCCTTTAAGCGTAAGAGTGGAAGAAAATATAATTTTTAAAACTTAAATAAATTACTTATTTCCTTTGTATGTTAAAGTGCTTCTTTAATTTTTTATTTTTCTCTTAAATTTATAATTAACATATTGAGTTATTGGATTAAACTATTAAGATATAATATATTATAATAACCTATTAGATTAAATTGTTAAGATATAATATGTTATGATAAACTTACATTTATATTAAAACTTAATGATTTTGAATTAGTAAACTCACTTTTATTTTTTTTTAAAACTTGGTAGACTTAACATATTAGTTTAGAATTTATTTATTAAGCTTAACTAACAATATGCTAACCATAATAACTCTAATTTTATTAAACAGTTTGAAGAATAAAACTAATTATTAAATAAAAAATTATTTTGAGAGTCATTAAAAATATATATAATAAATAAAATTGTATTGAAAGAAATAAAATTATTTTATTCAATCAATTTGTATGTATATTTTTGTTAATTAAAATTTACATTATATATGCTAGAATGTATTAGTTATTTTGAGTAAAAAATGATATATTGATGAAATTTTAAGTAGCAATACAACACTGCGACTTATATTTGATAATTACATAATAATTTATTTATTTTTAAAAATTAAAATTATAAAAATTAAATTCATATAATAGTAAAAAAAGAAAAATATAACAAATAGAAGATAGAATTTATATATGATATAATAAAAAAAATAATCGATGGTTTGTAGAAGTTTGTGAAAAAAAATTTATAAATATTTAGAATATATGAGTAAATAGATTATAAATAAATAAATAAAAATAATAACATAAATTGAAACAAGAAATTTTAAAAAAAATTTAAAATTGAGTCATGAAATTATTTTTTATTTATATTAATTATTGAATAAAATTATTTTAAGAAGCCAATAAAAAATATAAAAAAAAATTTTAAATTTTTGGAACGTCACTCATGAGTCATGACCCTTCCATCTTATAAGGAGGCTCCGCCGCTGGTCTAAATGGCTTCTCCTGAGGACAAAATACAGAACAAAAATGATCCTACCAATTCTTTAATTGGATGTAATTTGTAAGTCCTGTGAAACGTTGCGGCATGAATCGTCAGGCGAAACCAAACAGTTTGACCATGCAAGTTGTTTGAATCCTATTATTTTTTTTTTCTAGCAATTTGTGATATCAATGGTGATTCGATGGCATAAATTGGTAGTCTCAGCAGGACACATGAGGCATCTATGGGCTAAAGACCGTGCGTGCACGACATTCACATTGCGGGGTCTTTAAATTCTTCCTTATCCATGAGGGTTTGAACATTGATGGGTAGACCTTGACTAAGCGTTAAAGCACATTTATTCTACTATTGTTTTCACAGCCAATGGCTCTCTTCTCAGGCTGGCAAAACCCAACCGCCCCTTTTTCATGATTTCACACCTTATCCACAAAAACAAAACCCCAATTCTTCTAAAGCAAACTTATTTGATGATGTATTTTTAGAGAGTACACATTTTTAGTTCAATTACTTGATTTATTAGCATGATATGAAGTTTAATTTTTCAAGGAATGTCTCTCCTGGGGAAGAACTTTTAGAGTCTTTGCAGCGTTTTTCAAAGTATATACATTCTCAAAGATGATGTCTTCTTTGTTAAATTCATGTTTTTGCCTTTCCCAAAATTTGTTCGTACATGAGTTGGCACATTTCATTGTGGGCGAGTTGAATTTTGGTTCTTTCTTTTAAGGATTTATTCACATTTGTCCACAGGCACATCATATTCAGTGACTTTGTTTGCCTTGGGAAGTCACAAGGGAGACCCCTCCCCCATTCACCCACCAGGCACCAGCTACTTCACCATGAGCAGTTGTGAGGGTAAAGCCCCCACACCATTAATTTAATGTAAGACGAAAGCTAATCCAAGGTTAATGTAATCAATGTAGTAATTGGATAAACCTTGTAGTAATCATGCTACTGAAAACGATGATGGTGCTATTATTCTTATAAAAAGTTCTAATGGAAATTCTAAGACAAGAAAAAAGATGGGGTTAGCTTGGATTGCAAGGGATACTCTTCATTTAGTCAAGAGAAACAGATGATGATGATGATATGAGTAACTTTTATTTATTCCTATCTTTAAAGATTTTATATTCAGTGATGACTAGTTACTCCTTGTAAGAATTGGGAAGGAAAAAAAAAGCAACAAAATTTAAAACAAAAAAAAAATCATAAATATTGGGGGTCAGATAGTCTTTCCCCGAGTCTCATCATCAGCCACCTTTTACTTTGTCTGTTTCACAACTGAGTAGTACAGGTGGCTGACCTCTTCTTGCAGCTGCCAATCCCCGCGCTTCTCTCTCTGTCTTTCTCTTTCCCTTCCATATGGGTACTTTTGCTTGGTTAGTTTGGTCATAGTTTCTTCTCTAAACATTGGCAGTAAATTGCTATGTTTCATGAGGTTTGGTTGTTGATGCGTTTTTCTTTTGTCTCTCTGTGCTTCTCCCCCCGTGTTCCCTGGTGCTGGTTTCTCATTTCCAGGTATGATATTGTTTGTTTGTAGTCCTTGAAAAAGATCTCAGCTCTTTTGCTTTGATCATCTCTTGGTTGCTTACTTTGATGTGGGTTCTTTTACTGTTGCCGGCCTTGTTCGTCTTCTTGTTCTTGTTCTTGTTTTCTGCTAAAAATTTCATGTTTTGTATAGCAGAAGTGAGTCTTTACTCTGTCGGCTGACGAGTATTTCTCAGATTTCATTTCGTGTGGGTTTTGTTTGCTTTAAATCCTCAGGGAATTTCTGTAATTCTCTTTAGTTAAATGTTATGGTTTTTCTTATGGCTAGTAAACAAGAAGTTTTATGCTTTTAAAGCCGAAAACTTTGGGGCATCTGTTGAGCAATTCTCACCTCTGAACATACAATACTTGTTTCATGGTGATGATGATGTTCATTTTCTGGATGTATATCTGCTTGAAAAAAGTTAATTGTTGCCTTTCCTTTTCTCTTTTTCCCCGCTGATGATAGTGACTGGGAAATTTGGTTGAATTTTAGAGGAATTAGTACTTTTGGATTTGGTTTTTCTTGTGGCATCAAGTTCACTCCATTATTGTGATCTTATCTAAAATTTCTGCTTAAGGTGTCAAATTCACTCAAAGTACTATTTGAATCAAACTTTTTACTGTTCTAATTGTGCTTGTGCTAAAATAATGGTTCATCGATGTCAAGGGCATTTGGATGCTTTTGCAGATGAAGTCCTTTACTCTTATTTTCCATAAGTGAGTTGTAAATTGAAACATATAAGGGGAAAAAGAAGCAAAGAATTGCTTTCAATAGCAATTTACTTTCTGATATGTATGTTAGCATTTTAGTAGACAAGAATATGCAACTAGTAAGTTAAAATCTTGGTCTAAGGAGCCCAATTTTTTTACAAATCCACAGTTTTCCAGTGTAAGAAGTATTATAAAAGAGACGTAGGTTTGCGGCATTTGTGGCTCATTTGGAAAGAAGGATTTGTGATTGCAGATATGAATTTGATTTGTTGAGTAGTGGGATGACTATAGAAAATGTACTGAAATTGGTAAAGGTTCAATGTATTATGGATTTGAGATATGGTTGGTGTATGAATTTGAGAAATAAAAAATTCTGCTTGGGATTTCATAAACAACAATTTAGAAAACCCAATGATTCATGGACTTAAAAACCATATTGTTTTGAGTTCCATACAACCAATATGGGCTGCTGGCAGTCCAAATTCTTCTAATTGCTAGGGAGCTAATCTTTATGCTGTCTGTTTTGCTGATGTACTAACCTGGTTTGGAATTAATAACTATTCATGTTAGTTAAATCTTGTACAATTACGTTGTAGACTCCCCAAGACTTGAATATTATACTCCCAGTTAGGACTAATACTTTAAATTTAAATGCAAGTTTTGGAGATACTATAAAAAGTGCAAGTCAATATTCTTTATTTTCTCTATAAAATTGCCCATTCGTCGTTGTTTCTTCATCTTCTTTGTCTCTCCTCTTTTTTCTCATTTTTAACTACCAACATTATCAACTGACAGGTCAAGGATGCTATAAATATTTGTGTACAGTCGATGAGATAAAAGGATATTGAAGAAGTGTCCCAGCTATAATCATGAGTACTACTTTAATTGTTCCCCCGAAAGATCAGAAAGAGAAGGCAAACTTCCTTCTTGAGGTACATCTTTGTAGCTACAATTTCATGTGATCTTCTTTTTTGATACAAATCCCTCTTGTTTCAATTAGTTTTAGACTCTTGAAATCATGTTGTTTTTAGGTTGCTAAGACAGAAAAGCAGTTATGGGCATTAATCCATTCCAAAGGTTTATTGCACTCTGATGTTCGGGACTTGTACCATAAAGTCTGTTTAAGTTATGAGAGTTTCATTTTGAGCGATCAAGAACTGACAGAACTTCAAGATGTTGAATATTCACTGTGGAAGCTACACTATAAGCACATTGATGAGTTTCGCAAAAGAACAAAAAGAAGTTCTGCTAATTCAGAGAGTGCAACATCTGCAATGGCCCCAAGTTGTGCCGATGACAAGCATGTACAAGGGTTTAAGTCATTTCTGCTAAAAGCCACTGAATTTTACAAAAATTTGATTGTGAAAATCAGAAGTCATTATGGGCTTCCAGAAGAATCTTCCTTCTATAAAAGTGGTGGCAGCGCTGCTTCTGTTGACCCAAAGAAATTACAGAAATGTCACTTTTTGTGTCATCGTTTTTTAGTTTGTCTTGGGGATCTTGCTAGATATATGGAACAATATGACAAATCTGGTGCCCAGAAGCATAACTGGTCAGTTGCAGCCACCTACTACTTGGAATCTACCACAATTTGGCCAGATAGTGGGAACCCCCAAAATCAGGTAATTTTATGTATTTTTCTTATTTTCTCTATTGATATATCTCAATGAACGTGGTAGTCTGTGCCAATAATATAGAACTGAGTTGCATTTGTGATGTTTGATTTCATGATTTCTTCGTATATAACCCATCATGTTCACCCTTAGTTGGCAGTATTGGCAACGTATGTTGGTGATGAGTTTCTTGCTCTATACCACTGCATAAGAAGTTTAGCTGTAAAAGAACCTTTCCCTGATGCCCAGAACAACCTCATTTTACTTTTTGAAAGGGTAAGACTTATTCTATATGCTCATTTCATGCCAGCTTCTGGTATCCAAATATTGCATTTCCTAATGCTTGTTGCGGTTTTGCAGAACAGGTCAAGTCATTTGCATTCTCTTTCAAGTGAGGCCCAATTTGATTTCTTAAAACCATCTGAAAGAAGCGATGCCTTGGTCAAATCACGATCAAGTAGGGATATTTCAGACTGCTGTCTGTTGAAGGGTGAACACGATCACTCTGCAGAAATGAATTTCTGGCCACTTCTTATCAGAACACTAAGTTTCTTCTTCTTAAAATCCAGGTAATCCTTTAATCACTAATGAACAGAATTAGTTTGTTTCAGATGTAATTATGTTATTTTAAGGATAAGGTATTGAGTTGTCTGGTGTTTATATTCCATTTTAAATCAAGTTCTCATTTTCTTGGCTACTTTATAATTTGAGGCAGTTTGGAGGACTTCCCTTGTGCTTTTGCATCTACCATGAGAGAGTTGGATATGATGATGGCTTTAGATGATATAAAACTAAGAGTCATGTTGGAATCCTATCAGCTTATGGATTCGGCTAGAACAGGTCCTTTCCGTGCTCTTCAAGCTGTTTCCATTTTCATTTTTGTCTTCCATTATCTAATTAATAGCCCAGAAATTAAGGGGTCAAAAGATGGAAAGAATAAGCAACATTTTGAGAAGATACAAGCGGCATTGACTGCTACATTCATTTTCATGGGACGTCTAGTTGATAAATGTTTGAAGCCAACTCTTTTGGACTCTTGTCCACTTCTACCCACTGTACTTGTTTTTGTGGAGTGGCTGGTGAGCATGCTTGATGAAGTCAAAGCATATGGGGTGGATGACAAAACTACAAGCTCTATATCTTATTTCTTTGATGCTTTTATTGACCTCTTGAAGCAGTTCAATGTTAGTGTTGGAGTTTTGTCCCATGAAAGAACTGCACTGTGGGAAGATTATGAGTTGAGGGGCTTTGCACCATTAGTTCAAATACATGTTTCATTAGATTTCTCAACTAACTGGGATCGCATAGAGAGTTATGAGAGTGGGATTGAATGCCGTATTCAGCGTATTATCAATGCTGCAATGAAGATTGCTGACAGATCAAATGGTTCTTATAAGTGGATCACCTATGATAGCTCTGGAAGGAAATTCTATGTGAAAGATACAAATGTAGTGCCTGAGAGACCAGAATCAGGGAAAGTAGAGTCTACCAGTTCTGATGTAAATGTCAAAGGGGTGCATCAGCATATTGATGAAGCCACAAAGGAGTGCAGGACACAAATTGCCAATGAAAATGAAAGCAACCATGCTATGAATAGTAAATCTTTTGCTATGGAAGAGGAAGAAGTAATTCTTTTCAAGCCTCTTACAAGATTTAATTCAGCCCCTCTCTATGGTTTAAGTAACAATGCAAAAGACCCTGCATCTCCAAAACAGATGGAGGAAAATGTTCCTTCTGATGAATGTTTGCGCCGTGCTACATCACTACTTATAGCCCAAAACCAGGCCCATGGTGATGCTTCAGATTTTCATTCTGACATTTCTAATTTCAGTCGCAGCAAGCCATTCAAGCAGCAGGAGCCTTTTGTAAAAGATACTACAGCCTTTTCATTTTCAGAAGTCCCCGTCTCTGCCGGGCCTCCTTCTCTTAGTGCTTGGGTTCTAAATAGGGGAAGTTTAAGCAGTACTGAAAAGGGGAGAAATGATATGAGTAGACAGGGGTTGAGCCCTATCGATGAAATAGCTACTCTATCCCTGAGTGGTCTCTATATCCGGCAAACTGAGGATTCTGTCACTTCTTCAAGATCTGAAGGTTCAACCTACCATTACTCACCTCCTCTGTATTCAGCTCCGGTGCCTTCTGCCCCTTTATTGCCTGATGATGCTTTTTGGTATAATGGTACTCAATCTAGTATTTCTGAGGTGAAGGGCTCAGGGTACATTAGTAAAGCAGGGAATTTCTACGATGCATCAAGGGTAGGTGGCTACCCCAATTGGTCTCCTGATGGGGAACTTAATTATGGTTCCGCTATTCCAGGTTTCATGGATAAATACCCTCCATTTAGTGGGATGACTTCTTCGGAATGGCTTCGTCAATACAGAGAAAGTCTCAATCTTGAACGGGCCAACAACCATGTGCGTCCTATCAACTTTTTTGCCCCTGGGAACCCCAGGAACTTCCCCACTCCTGATGCTTCCCGCTTTGGCCTTTTTGATCAGTATGGAGTTCCTTCTGTTTCAAATCCAACAATTCATACGGAGAGTCCAATAGTGCATCCAGGATTTCCCCTTGCTTATGGTGTGGATGATCAGAGAAGGGAGAAGCTGTTTCATGGTTACCAGAGGCCAAGCCCTTATGGCTGTGGTGCCGTGACTGAACTTAGAGACGAGCCACAGCCACTGTTGCAGTATCTAAAGGAGAGAGAATGGCTACTCCAGCAGGATCCAACTCTGAGAAATCCGACCTATATGGGAAAATAAAACTTGCAAATCAAACAGATGATAAAAGCTTGTATCAGGGCTTCAGTACAGCATTACCCCTAGGACTTAGATGTCAGTTTAAACAAGTTGATAATTGTTCATGCATGTACATATCGACAGAGATTGACAATATGTATAATTTAGCCAGAAGTTCAAGTGTGAAGAATTGTCCAGCTTGTCCACAAGCCGTACAGATTTAGGATGATTTTATAATAATATAATGTTCGCTTACTGACCAGAAATGTTTCTCCTCTCAATATACTTTACTAGATTTTATGTGTACTCGAAGAAAATTGGTCCAGAATCGCATCAAATAAGGCGGCCAAAGCCAAGCTACCATATTATTTTTACTATTATTTTCTGGATGAATAAATTACGAAGGCTTTTAACATCTAAAATATCTAATTCTGGATTTTCAGATTGTATCAAAAGCCATGAAAGTGGAGAGATTGCTCACTTTCCATAGGGTGGAAAAAAAAATATAATTCCGTTGCCGGGGATCGAACCCGGGTCTCCTGGGTGAAAGCCAGACATCCTAGCCACTGGACGACAACGGAATTTTTATTCTAAATCCATGTTAAACTTATATATCGATTTTTCAAGAGAGCTAGCAGTTTCACCGGCAGCCCTTATTAAAGCCTCCGCCTTTTTGCTTCTTGGGTCTCAAACTCAAGATCTAAAGATTCTAAACTAAACTCAAATGGAGAAGAAACAGTCAACAGAACGAGATATATCATCTGCCCAAGCAGTTTTACTTGGAGCTTTAGCTCCTGGTGTCAACGTCCGTTCAATTCCTTCTCAAAGATTCTGCCTTTTTCTTTCCTGTGTACATATACAAACATACATACATATATATATATATATATATATATATATATATATATATATACACACACACATATAATTTGCAGGCATATTTATGTAGTACTCATATAAGTTCTGATTTTTTGTTGTTTTGTGTTTCAGGGTCCCACATGGAATACACTGAAAACAGCGTTTTTGATGTTGGGTCTTTGCCTGGCGGTTATGTTCGGTTTAGCATTCTCCTCTAGCGACTCTACCATGATTCTTCATGTTGCCTTCCTTGTTCTCATCACCATCACCCTCTTTTTACTTCTTGACTGGTACTATTTCTTAATTCTAAGCTAGAACCCCATTCTTATTTGACCCAAGTTTCATTGTTTTTGGTTTAGTTGGACATTGATTTATGTTTTCTGGTTCCATTAATTTTCGGATGCTTTGTGTTATTCATGGTTTGATCATTTTTTTAAAAAAACTATGGGATAGTTATAATCACTGGGCAATTTCGTTAATATGCGTATTCTTTCGTCTTGAGCTAGGCATATAGATGCTTTATCTTTTGCTAGATTGTTCTCATTGGATCAAAGAGTATACTTATTAAGCTATATTGGACTGTCAAAGGAATTTGTATTATAATTATCATGACTCCCTCAGACTTTAACGGTTTGGCATTTTAGCTCTTGTCATATATCCTAAGCTGTTAAGCAGCAATTGAATGATTTTTTTTTAATTATTTTCTGATTTTTTCTCTGAAAGGAACTGGTTTTGTAATATGTTTGCTGCAATCTAAGCAATGCCACCTAGTGAAATTTTGGGTGTATTCTCACAGACAGGATGAATATTGTGGCTTACACCAGAAGAGCTTGCTCTTGTCATATATTCTGTTACATCAGGTGGCAGTTAGGATTGAACCTGCAATTGCACCACTGCCCTGTTCTTATGCCCCATAGCATGGTTTAATAGCAAGGGTAAGCTGGGAGTGCTGAATTTTGTTTAAATCATGTTCTGAAGTGTCACTTGCTACATGCATGCTTTAGTTGTTCCCAGTTTGAGAACAACAAAGTGGAGGGAGAATGCAGAGGTGATTGTTTTATCCTATGATGATTTCTATGATTGCAAGTCATCGGGTGCATAGGGATTTGGCCTTTGTTACAGGAACAGGGTCTGAGGCTGCATAATTGAATCTCTAATCTTCTATAGTTGGAAGCTGTTACTTTGCAGACACCCTGAATTAGTATGATTGGATTTCTTATGCAGGTTTCTTGAACAGACTGGTTTGGTTTCTGTTGAACGTCAAATGCAAGAGATGGACTTGGTACCAAATGATCGTCGGAGATAATCAATAAGAAGCAAGAAAACAGAATTAACAATTTTCATTTTTTTTTCTTAACATTTATGTAGCATTTACAAGTGAAAATTTCATCAACAAAGGAGGAACAGAGACAAGATGATAAATGAGAGGCATTCCTACAGAGGAAATGAGAAGAAAACGTTGAGGGAACAGCGAGCAAATCATGGTACTTCCTCCACTTGCTCCTGGAACCGCATCAGAGACACCCTCATTAGTCGCTCTTTGGCTCCTTCTCCTTGTGTTTGCTCTTCTTGCTCTTGATGAAGCAGAAGCATGAGCAGCAAGGGAGCTGAAGCAAAAACTTCATATTTCATGTGTTGATGGTTCAAATGTTTGCAGAAAACCAATGTCTATATCGAGCTCCATCCTGGGTTTATTATTATTATTTTATTCTCATATTCATTTCTGTTCTTGGATGCTATTCGTATTCCTCATTGTTACAGATAAAAAGATGCCTAACTTCACAATGACTTATTCACAGCCATTGCATGTCTTCTGCTCTTTTGTGCGGAAATGTTACCATATACATATATCTTGCAAAAGAATTAAAAAGGCCATGCTTTTGTGTTCTATTCCTTGGCGAAAACAAGCTTTAGGTTTTGGTAAGGAATAAGCTGCTGCAACTTGCAATGTTAATGTGCAAGGCAGAATCTTATAGGTGGTTCTGACCTCTAGGAAACTGGTTCATCCCATTCCATCCAAAGATGGGACAGGATTAACTTTAAATCATTTGATTTTTAAAAGTTTAAATTCAAATTATTAGTAATAATTAACTTGGACACTTATAAAAATCTTAACATTTACATTCTTATCTGATGAAAGATGATATCATAAAAGCCAAAATCATTTTAATGGATGTTTGTGATCAAAGTAATGATAGATAAAATAATAGGTTTTTTTGGACTCCTCTAACGGCCTAGTAATGTAAGTAGCATTTAATATTGGAATATTTCAATATGGTCATTTAATCAATTACGGTAAGTATTATGCTTTGTTAACATAATAGTTTAAAAATTTTTTGAACTATTCAAAAAAATTTTAAATAAATTTTTATTTTTTTATTTCACTGAATCGATTTTTTATAATTTTATTTAAAGTCAAAAAAATTTTTAATAATGATGTTTAACTAATAATAATTTTATACCTACGCAACGCTTACATAACATTCATGTGAATTGTTAAAATACAATGAGATTATATCATCATGATACATAAATATGACATATAATCATCAATTATAATATATTAGCATATCGCATCATGTAGTATAAATGATAAATGATAATTTAGTTAATCAATCATAAATAATAAGAGATTATTTAATTCAAAATAAAAATATAAAAACTTGATTGAATAAAAAAATTATTAAATTTTCATATATAATTTAATTTTTTTTAGATATTATGTCTTTTTTTAAAAAAAAATTAATGAGTGCTTTTCTCTAAAAACAACTTTTTGTTTATACATAGTAATCAACATAATTCTTGTGTTTTTGGTAAAAAATATTATCCCAAAATAAAATAAAAAAGATGAAAATAGAGATTTTTTTTTGAGAAAATAAACTAAGAAATATAATAAATATTGATTATTGAAATCTAAATTGTTTCCTTTGACTGCTTGCACAATGCATTGGCCTTGGACAACACTTTGCCAAAAGCTTCCTTCTTCACTAAAAACTCTCTAATTTTACCATAAATAGAAAAGAAATCATTAATAAGGCTTCCAATTAAGCTTCTTTATTACATGGGGGAAAATCTGTTCCAATTAAAGTCTAGTCCCTTCCATTTCAACTGTATCAAATGAATAAAACCAAAAAAAGAATCACAAAATTGGAAAAAACAAACAAGAAATAATAAAAACCATTATTGCCAAAAGGATTTAAAGGGTCCACCACACGATTTCCTTGAGACCACCATGGCCTACACATGAACAAATGAAAAGAAACCTTACTGTCTCTCTCTCTCTTATAGAAAAAGCCAAATTTGTTTGTTAGTGGCCAACTCCTTTTCATTCAATTTTGCTTCTGTTTTGCATGGCACTGTCACTTGCTGCTTAGCCACCTCTGGGTATCCACAGTCCATCCTCCTGTCTCTCCCCCTCCCTTACGTTTCCTTCTTCCTGTTGTAAATTTTCAGAGCACAACAACTTTCCCCTCTTTTTTTGTTTCCTTTCTTTTCTTCATTCTCATTTTGATTTCTACTACCCCTTAAGGCCAAATCTTTGTCTGGGTATTGTTGTTTTCATCGTTTCTTGCTTTCTTTCTTTCTTTCTGTGTTCATTAATGTTTATACCCCACGTATTCTACTTCATGCTTTGATCTTTGTTTGTTTGTTTTTACAGTGGAAGTAAACGTTTCCCTTAAGGTAATAATGGCTTCAAGTGATGGTTGGGATGCTGAAAAAATGTGAGTTTCTGCTCAAAGAGTGTTCTTGGCATTACCATGATCGTGGGATTTAGGCTTTTCAGTTCTTCTACTTTGCTTTTTTCTTTTATGGCTCTCATTGTATCAAGAATATTTACTGCTTGAATTTTATGTTTGTTTGATTTGGGGGGCAAAGGCTGGACCTTTACTTGCACGATTACTTGATGAAGAAAAACATGCATGAGACTGCTACAGCTTTCAGAAAAGAGGCTGGTATTTCTAACCGTTCTGTTGGTATGAGCTCTTTCGTTTTCATTCTTTTTTTTCCGCATTTCCTTTCTCTCTTGTAGCATATATATTCCTTTAATTAAACCTATTTCTAATGACTGATTCTACAGTTATATATTTTTAGTATATAATTATCGATGTTGGAAATGCTTGGCATATATTTTTCCTTTCAAATGTCTTGAAGGTTATACAGTTGATGAAATTGCATCTATATGTTTATCAATGAGCATTAATGTTTCTGTTCTCTTTCTCCAAGAACAAAGATATATAAACCAATTGGTTTAATTTCTTCTACATAGTCTTTTGTTACTTCCGTTTGCAAGGCTTATTCTGAATTTAGCATTAATGCATGAAAGCATTAGAGTTTCCCCTTTTTTTTTTCAGATTATTTTTAAAGTTCACATTGTTGCTATAAATCGTGTAATTTGCTGATTGGAGTAAAAGGGGTCATTGTTTTCAGTGATTGATTCTCCCCAAGGGTTCTTACAAGAATGGTGGTCAGTATTTTATGACATATTTGCCTCAAGGCCACCAAAGCATCAAGAGGACTCTGAGGCAGAAACCTCTGCTAATAAGGTGATTGCTTATGGGATCATGTTGAGCCAAAATTTTTATTGTAACTCTATAAACTTATGTTGTGCTGTTTGTCCATTTCTCAGGCTGAAATATTGGAGAATCAATCACTAAATTTGCGTTCAATATTGACGCCATCAATGATAAGTCAGCAAAGGCCTGAACCGGTTCTTATTCCGAGAGATTTTGATTCCAGTTTGCGTTTCCTTGAAGATAATCAACTGAGGCTTCCAAGCTCCTTTGCAGCCAGTTCTAGGTATACATATGTTTTAATTGAACTAAAGGTTTGTATAATTGACAATCAGTTCACAGTCACTTTGGCTTCTTTATGTCCCCTATATCTACACAGGACTTATTATGAAAACTAAGATATTATTATGGAATACTCGACTTTTTAATAGACAAAGAGTTTCACCCTTTGGCACATATTTCATGATTCACTGCAATTTGAAAGTAGAAACGATTATAGGAAAATTTTTCCCATTGAAAAAGTATGATCTGGATTAAGAAAGCAAGTATATACATGATCATTCATGCTGGTGAATCGTAATTTGCTTCATTGTTAAATTGAGAGTTAATTTTTTCTCTTTAACATTCATTCATGTATCAGCCGTCAGCAACAACAGATAAATTTTGCCCACCATCAAGTTAAGAGGGTATGTTCTGAAGTATCTACTTGTGTTCACAAGAGCACCAAGTTATTATGAATTTCAGTAAATATAAAATGTTCATCAATGTGCAGGAACACAGTCACGGCATTGCCTTGGGGAGAACCATTCCTGCAAACCCACTCACCCCCTACGGCACACAGAAAGGCATATTTCCAGCAACTGGACCTGACACTGCAGGTTAGCTTGGCCATCTTTCTGATTTGAGTTCATGCAGTGTTAATGCTGACAAAACTGATCGTATCACATGACCTTTGCAATTTCTAGTTATGCTATACTATTCGAGGACATGTGATGAATTATTCATATAAGCTTTATTTTAACAAGACAGGAGATGCACGCAGTGTTGCCCTTGATTATTTATTTTGTTAGCATTGTAACATTAGATATGTTAGATATATCTGATGCATGGTCTTTTTCTTTCAGGATTGAATGACTCCATCAACCTAGCACCCCTTAATGGGTGGCCTTTGGATGTAAGTGGCATGTTAAGTAACTGTTTTTGGAGCCTTGCTAGCACCAATTTTGTGTTCTTGTTGATTTAGTAGATGTTAAGTCCTTCCTAGTGTGAATAGAAGTGTGCTTAAACTTTCACTAACAGTTCTTTAGTTGAGCCTGGTTACCATGGTTTGGAGATCAGCCTATCATATTTAAATTTACTCTTTCAGGCATCAAACTATCAGCGACAACTTCAGATATTGAAGTCTCAACCTGAGATATCAGCTCAAGGGCTGTCACATATGCCCAGAAACCTGACCCCTACTTTTCCTGGAAGCTCTGCCAAATTCAATTACCGTAATCCTATTCTTCCTAAGACTGAAATAAATGGGAATAACAGACAGGTCAGTTGAAACAGTGTCTTAAAAATTTTTGGGCCACTTGATTTCTTTAGAAGGTTATTATTATTTATTTTTTGTAAAAATGAAGTATTCTGCATCTAATGGATGTGTTACCAGATACCCTTTGTAAGATGCTATGATGAGATGCATGACTATTTTCAGAATCAACCCTCTCCGTTCAATAAATATGATGATCATAAATTATAAAGAGATCTTAGAGGAGTAATTGCATGTAACATTTAACTTGAATGCTAGTGTTTATTAGTTTTATTTGTTAGAAGCTCATTAACTCTCATTTATAAAAAACTATCATAATTCTTTTCCTCATTAGTGACTGATTGGTGATGAACCAGATGATGATCCAGACGGTGCAAACTGAAGAACAACAAAACCAACATAATATGCTACAGCAACAGCAGGTAACATGCGAGTCATCAGCTTTTGAGGAAAGCTAATGCTAATGCTTTCCCCAACTTGGTAGAAAATCGTGGTCAAATGTATGAGTCTATGTGCATGTCTAGTATGATATTTATTCTTATAATTGTATTTGCTCTGGATCAGACCAGCAGAAAGAAGAAGAAAGTATCACATTCAAGGGTGCCAGATAAGAAATTGGTATGCCATAAAAACTTGGGTAAAGCTTTTCCATTTTCATCTGGCTGTTATATATGGGGATTTATTCCATGTCAGTGGAGAGTGTGATAATATTTGCTGATCTACACTCGCCAGTATGTACTTTTTGTCTATATCTGCTTCATGATTGTTGCCTTCTTCATGGAATGTCCATCTGCAGGATCGTATCACAGCTGAGAAGAATAAACCTGTTGATGACACTGTTGAGTCCTTTCTGTCCCATGATGATGATAATGTTGATAGTACAAGCAAACCTTTCAGTGTTTTAAGACACCGTTCTAACCCTTCCAATGAAATCGAACAAAAAGGTAATTCTTTTAAGAATAGACAGAAAAATGCTTTGCAGGTCTACTTTTAATAGGTACTGATGCAATGGAAATGAAAGATAAAAGACATCAATCTTTACAATGATTGATTTATTCAGTAGAGAAAGTGCAACCAACCCCCAACTGCCTAAGCACTTCCCAAGTCTTTGCTAGCCTCCCCTAACCATGTTGTATTGCAGAAAAATACTTAATAGCATGGGAAGACTATATCTGGTTGTAACCCCTAATCCAGGTTGACAATGAAAGCTTTCTCTCACATCCCTTTCCACCAAACTTGGTGTATATTTTATATATATATATATATATATATATATACTTATATATATTTTGTGCTGGGTCGTATGAAAATAACATGAACTCTGTCAGTAAGGATGCAGTTGTGGCAGTATAGCAGTTAAGATATTACTCAGTAATCCTAACACAATGATATGTCATCACTGGTGTAGGCTTCACCTTTGGAGAGGTTAGTTGCCTTCACTCAAGCAAAAGCAAAGTCTTGTGCTGCCATTTTTCATCAGATGGGAAGCTTCTAGCTAGTGCTGGGCATGAAAAGAAGGTAGTATCAACGAGTAATACAGGTTTTTGTTCCCAATATGTTGTACAGGCTTAGAGCTGATTATGGTTTTCTTCTGGCAGGTCTTGATATGGAATATGGAAACTCTTGATTTTGTTAGAACTTCAGAGGGCCATTCTCTTCTCATTACTGAAGTTCGTTTTAGACCAAGTTCAACTATATTTGCAACATCCTCCTTTGACAAAACTGTCAAAATATGGGATTCTACCAAAGTAACCATTTTCCTTCGGAACTTCAGATATTTATTTTGTATTTTTCTAAATTTCTGCCTGCTTGTTCAGAATGAAGAAAAAAAAGGCTGTTGTATGCAATTCATGTCTCTATAGGATGCTGTTTTTCCTTGTTTGGTGTTATAGACAGGCGGACTAGTTGCTCTTATTTTCCTATGATTAGCCAAAATTGATTACCACAGAGTAAATGTTAGGTCTTCATTTCTTTGCTATTGCAGCCAAGCAAATCACTTTGCAAGCTTGTGGGGCATGCTGAACAGGTGTTGTCATTAGATTTCCATCCTAGAAAGTTGGATCTCCTTTGTTCCTGTGATAGTAATAATGAGATGCGGTTGTGGAATGTCAACCAACGTTCTTGCATGCATGTTTCTAAGGTCAGATCCTCAGCCTTGTATCTGTTAGAATTTCTCAGAAACATCAAAGTTTACTGATAATTCAGATTAGAAAAGTTTCTGGTTTTCTTAGTTTCTTGAAAATAATGCAGCATTAAATCACATTAGACTTATGAGGATGTCTAATTTGTGGTGGATTGTGAAATTTGGTGATGCTTCTATCTCTTGTAAATTCTTCTTGTTAATGCATTTCAGCCAACTTTTTGAAAGGCAGTTTATGCTTATTAGCAAAAATTGCAAATGGTTAAAGTTTGTCTTTTCAGAATTTTTCAGTTTTAAATGCTTATAGTTTTCTATAAAATAAATGTTCGTTGAAAGGAAGTTTAACATCAAAGTATTCCTTGTCTTGCATGGCTTAGCTTTATTCACCTGCTCATTTTTCTTGGAAAATATTTAGGTACTTGTTGTTAGCAAACTTACATCTGGTGTTATCTCCATTAGAATTCTATGTTCTCAAACTTAACCCTGCTTTCACTTACCTCTATTTCGTTGTGAGTTGACTGCAGGGAGCTACTAAACAAGTTAGATTCCAGCCTCAACGAGGAAAGTTAATTGCAACTGCTTCAGGAAATGTTGTCAATGTAATTGATGTTGAGACTGACAAGCCCCAGTTCTGTTTAAAGGTTGATTCACTTTATATGTTACTAGAGCTCTACTCACATGCATCCAAGTCCATTGCCTCCCTCCTGTCTGAACGAATTTTATATTCTTTCAGGGACATAACAAAGAAGTTCTTTCAATTTGCTGGGATCCAAGTGGCAGCTATATTGCCTCCGTCAGTGAAGACAGTGCACGTCTTTGGTCAATGATTGATGGGGAATGCATACACGAATTGTGTTCAACAGGCAACAAGTTCCAGTCCTGCACATTTCATCCAGTGTACTCACTACTCTTGGTCATTGGTGGCTACCAGGTAAAGTACTCAAAATATTATTGTTGTCAGTATTACTAAATGCAGTTTATATACAGCATTCTCAACAAATGCTGTTTATTTCTCATATGTCTGGAATTACGTAATAACTAGCTTGCAAGCCATTTTTGGTATAGATGTTTATCATGTCTTGATGTGTTAACATATACACAAGAATGTAAGTGAACCTCTTGTTCAGGAAAGGGGGTTAAGAATAAATTAAACAGAAACTAGTGGTTGCATTAAAACACAAGGTTGACTAATTCCAATAGGCTGATACAACTAGTTCTGTCTTGGCCTGATGTTCAGTATATATCTGCGATCCTGTTGTAATCTTTGCTGATATTCCTCTCTCATGAGATCTAATTGTTCGAATTTTGTCAGTCCCTTGAATTATGGAATCCACTTGAGAGCAATAAAACATGGACAGTTGAAGCACACAGTGGATTAATTTCTTCACTGGCAGATTCTCTACAGACTGAAATGGTTGCCTCCGCAAGCCATGACCAGTGCGTTAAGCTTTGGAAGTAATGATGTCTCTTCATGAGAATTCATGCAATCTGCTGGAACCAGTGGCATGTGTACATACGGAGCATTTTTTAGAATGAAGAAGTTAATGGCAACAGTAAGTAGAGTAAACAGCCAAGACAAGTAGCAGAGCAGAAAGATGCACCCCTTTTTGCGGCAAAATATTGAAAAGTATAGATGGACTATATTCTCAGATCTAATCATATTACCTACAGGCTGAAAAAACTACAACCAAGGTTAGAAGAATGAAACACAACTGTAGCATAATATGCTGCTTTTTTCCTTCTTTTTTTTTCTTTTCTTGTTGGCTAAGTTTTGAACTTTAGATCCTCTCCTTTTACACAGGAAATGAAAGAGTATTAAAACTGGTTGTTTTGGGGGTTATTTGTGCCCAATAAAGCATTTAATAGTTTAACCTCCACAAAAGAAGGTTACTCCATATTTTCATCTCAAAGCAATAGAGTCTTAAAGACAAAAGCATATGGATTTAAGATGTTCTTTCCTTTGTCAACATGAAAGGTTGATCTAATTCATCGAAGTTATTTGAGTGTGTAACTTCTATTAACATCATCTTCATCTAGCTCAATGTCCATGAAACATTGATCCAATAATAAAAGACAGATTGAGAGCACGCCCGTACAGTGCAATTGTGAATCAATAGCACGAGGAGTATCATTTTACGGCCATTTGTCTTATATGCATTTCCTTTCTTTCTCCTACTTCAACCAGCGCAAGTAAGCTATGCTTCAAATGGAAAATTGGGTAGTATATGCTTCTATGCAGCGCTTGTTTCTCCTCACCATTTTTGTACGTTTTGGTTAATGAAAGCAACTAGCGAGAACCAGAAAGAGTCTTAGTAGGTACTAAAGGGGTCTTATACAGGGTATTATAAAAGATATTTCTTTTAATTACTATAGCTAAGTGCTAATTCGTTGAACGTACCTTGGGGTGACCTTATATATAACGATACGTCTCATAGTTGCTTCTCATTTTAACATGCAAAAAGTAATCATCTCCTTTCTCCTTCCAACTACAACCGCAACAGAGCTTTTTGCTTGAGATGGAAAACTGGGTATTTTCTCCTTCTTTCTTTTGCTTTTCTTGCTCAATTTCTTCTGTAATAACTGGTAGTGTCTTTCTTCATATTGGTTTCTCTTCTCATTATCCCTCTCTTTAGACCTTTCTTTGGTTCTTGTTGAATGGACGTTAATAATCTAAAACATGCGCACATGCATTTCTTTTTCCAATTATTGTTCTCCTTTTCTACAAGAATCAAACAGAGTAAGTAGCTGCTAAATTGCTTTACTCGATTCCTGAACTTGAATCTTATATGAGAACTTATGGTTGGTTTCGAAATTTTCGTTTCTTGGGTTGGACGTGAAATTTTCCTTCTTGGGTAGGAAAAGAAATGTTGTGTTATGCCATTCATGATTCTTGACATGAATTATATTGGTTTCTCTTCTTTTCTTTGGTTTCTAGTGAATGTTTGCATCGGTTCTTGGTCATATACGTAAGCCACAATTCCTGTCTGTTCTGTTCTTTTCTTGCTTTATTAGATAGCTAAATTGAAACCTAACAGTTTGGCCAAGCAGAAGTAGTTTTAGAATGCTAACACGCTGATTTGTAGGAGAATACTAGTAATTAATCTTAATGGGCTCTAACCACGTTGATCTAGAATGGTACTTTAGAGGGTTGTTGAGCAAATCTTGATCATATTTCCTTTTCCTTAGTCTCCGTTTGGATAGTTTGCTGTGCAGATGATATTCAGAAACCTTCATTTTTATTATGTTTGGTGTTCTCTTTCTATAGAAGACGAATATGCTATTGAACTTCATGTTCTTTTTCCAAGTTTTTTCCTCATCTTTCTTCTTAATAAACAGGACATAGCCATCACACATGAGTTTGTCCATGAACTTTTTGAGGCTTTTATTTGTATTTTGGCATTACGCTTGTAAAACCTTATGTTATCTTCATGAATGTGCTTCGTTGGATTCTTAAACTAAGAAAATTTTACCCGTATATTTATTTCTTTTCAGGCTAAAAGAGTGAATTGCAAAATGGAACATGGGCCAATGCATCCACCTGTATCTCAAAAGATACATTGGCAACCTGACCTCCCAGTCAGGCATTTTAATTACACCCGAAGGATGCAAAATATTCAAGGGGATGGTGCCTTGGTGAACAGGAAATCTTCATCTGTTGTAACACCCTTGCCGCCAGCTTTTGCAGGAGCCCCATTGGAGAACCTTAACGATCCTGTTCTGATTGATTTGGCTGCGACAGGTATTGTCAGGACAACAGTTGCTCCATTTGAGCGAGTGAAGCTCTTGATGCAAAACCAGAACGGGATGATCAGGTCAGGTCGGTTGCCCCAACCATATAATGGAATATTTGACTGCTTTGCCCGAACAATCAGAAATGAAGGTATCTTTTCCCTTTGGAGAGGCAACATTGCAACAGCCGCTGCATATGTTTCCTCTAAGGTAACATCCACCAAAGTTGTTCTGTAAGTTGCTGTCCTATTCTCAGGATTTAGAATTTTGTAACATCTTACGCCTTTATGTGCTACAGGCCATACATTATAAATCCTATGAATATTTTGCAAGTCGTATAGATAGCTCGTGGAGTATTTTTGAGGTAGTAGCGGCAGGTGTTTTTTCTACAGCTGCAAATCTGTTTCTTGTTTATCCATTAGTTTATGCTGGAACACGCATGGCAAATGATGTCAAAACTGCAAATGAAGTCAAAACTGCAAATGATGTCAGAACCACCGGTTACTCGAGCAATAGGCAGTTTAATGGTATACTTGATGTGTACAGAAAAACTCTGAAAGTAGATGGCATTTCCGGATTGTTCCGTGGATATACCATGGCAATAGCTCAGGTTGGTGTGATAACAGCGCTATCCGCTCTTTCAAGGCCATGGTATCAGCATTTGTCGATCCAATCGCAGGTCAGTGAGATTTTTTCTTTTATGTCATTAAACTGCAGTTTCATTCCAGCATGTATCTTTTTCTTTTTCCCAAAAGATTCTGAATGTTGTCTTTGAATCTTTGTGTCAAAACACAAAAGGTGAGACTTTCCCAACAGATAAACCCGTGTTTTTTAGCTAGAAACTGTTTGTATGGATTTGATTCAATAGGTAACGTTGTCTGGTTTATGGTTAAGAAATGCTTGCCTTTTGCAGAACAATGATTTGGGCATAGCTATCTTGGACTGTGTGTTCGATTGTAGTGGCAGCTTGGCTTCCTACCCATTGGGCACCGTGAGTAGAAGGATGATGATGACCTCAGGAGAAGCTGTCAAATATAAGAGTTCACGGAATGCATTTGCGCAAATTTTCAAAACTGAGGGTTTTGAGTCCTTTTATAAAGGTGCAGGGGCAGATATCCTTGTAAGTGCTGCTTTCAAGGGTTCCGCGTTGTTACTGCCTCACCTATATGCTGCTTATTTTGCTGCAATGGCGAACTGGGGTGATGGCAGCCAACCTGGTTTCGTTCTCTCCATTAAATGGAAGAAGGACCGGGATAAATGACAGGGCAGTGACGGCAGCAGTCAATTCAGTCGTGATGGATAAAATCCTAACCCTCCATTCATTCCAAGTTCAATTTTGACCTTCTTTTCTGAGCTGAGAAACATTTTTTTCTTTCGTCTTTTGGTTAAACGAAGCTGGGAAACTTGTTAAATTGACAGAGTAGCAAGGAAGGTATAATATCGGTAGGTTTGATTTTGACACAGCGGTATGGCTTTCCCCTGGCAATAACTAATTCAGTTCAGTAAGCTACTTCTGCTGCGGTTTCCTCTACAAAAATTCTTCTGCGTATGGGATCGTTATGAGAATTTGTGTCGTCGTGACATGTGCCAGTGTGTGTTACATATTTGCAATATTTCATACGTCTACTTTCATTTCATTGCTCATAGAACTGTTAAATTTTGCATTGCTCTAAACTTCCACAACCCTTGAGCAGTACCCTGACAGTCTTCCTTGTTGATTTAAGTTCCATGCAGAATAAACCTGGATGGTTAAACTCAATAGCTAAGATTTACAAGTTTTAAGATTCTTTCATTGCTGTTGTGAATAATAGTAAAGAATCCTGGCCAGTCGGCATAAGATGCAAGTGCAAGTGCAAGAGAGATTAAGGGTTTGCTTGACGCTAGAGAAAATATGAAAACACCGAGAACATTTCTGTAGAGCTCAAACTAACATAACTATAGAAGCCAAGTTTTGGCCGCAATCAAAACAGAAAAATGTCCATGTTTCAGCATTCAAGTACAAGATGCGATTAGCTGAGAAGAAGCTATTCAGTACAAGAGGTGTTTGAATGCATTTCCATAAAATTTCAAAATGCAGGATCCTTTAACAAGAGTCCTTTTTATGAAGGTGCCAGAGCAGGCAGTCTCAGTTGCTGCTTTCTACTATTGCAAAGAAGAACAGGTCTAGGCATGGTGGTGACAGCAGCTATGCTTCAGCTAATGGCTTCCAGTTTTACCATTCAGCCTGCAGTGATAATCTTAACTTTTAACTTTATATTTTCCAGGACAAGATTCAAAGTGAGTAGGGTAGCCTGGCTCATGCTTAGATTTTACCGGCACATTGTCATTGCAGATTAGATTTTGCAGACTACAATCTATAAATTGACATTCAATAGACTTGGACTCAGAAATCAATGCAAAGAATGCCAGCCAATATCAGTATTGCTTGAGCAATGAGAGTTTTTGATTGACATTAGAGAACATATAGAAAAGGAAAATGTTAATAGAAGCTCAGAGTAACGTTAATTGGAAACAAATTTTCAAAAGATTAAAAGGCAAAGCATCAATTATAATCAACAAAAGAAATGTCTAAATCTTGTAGTTGGTTGACTTATAGTACCAAAGCCTCATGTACAGAATCTACATTGCCAGAAGAGGATGAGGGTAAAAGGTGAAGCTGCTTACAGGACCATCACTTCCACAGCTCTTCCATGGGGATCCCTCGTTCTTGAGCAATGTCACGGAACTGCCTCATTTTCTGCACTGCAACAACTGTGGCTCTGGCATTGTTAAGGGCATTTTTACTTCCAATTTGCTTACCTAAAGCGTTCTCAACACCTGCCATTTCAAGAACAATTCGCACAGCACCTCCTGCAATCACTCCAGTACCAGGTGAAGCAGGTCTAAGCATCACCTTTGCTGCCCCAAAATCACCCTCAGATCTGCCAACCAATTCCCAATGAGATTAATAAAAGCAGATTGGCATGCCTCTTTTTACCATTATATTATTCCAAGTTAAGTCAGCTCCCATGGTGATATATACCTATGATCCTACTAAGTGATCTGAAATAGGGATAACAAGGTTTCTCACATGGGAAATCATTGTCTACGTTTCAACATTACAAAGCCTGCCATTCTTTAACTTCCAGCAACTGCAAAAGATTGTAGGCTAGATACTTTGATATAGATGCTTCAACAAATCCCTCAGACATGACTAATCTATCGAGTCTCATATGATTCAATTGAAATTACAAGAACTATAGAACCATAATTCATATACATTTGCTACATTAAGCCTCAATTAGGGCCTTTCAGGTTCAGCAGAAAACTTATGACCAAATTGTATCCCAGATCACAACACATCAATTACCATAGAGGAAGAGTTTAAGGGACCACTATTAAAGGTTTAAAACGTATTCACTGCATAAACATTTTGAAAAGAATACAGTCTTAGATGCTACAAACTAATTCTATCACTCACCAAAAACTCCAAACTAGAAACAAAATAATCGATCTAAAAACTAGGAATCAGGAAATAAATTAGTATAAACTACATAAAACTCCAAAGCATTACAAACCTATCCAATTAATGAGCAAGAAATGCTCAGGGAACCTCGATTAAACATAAAAAGCAATCATATTTATACCCATGAGGCCAAGACAGAGCAGTTTCTCTTTCACTAAAACAACCCCAGAGAGAAAAGACAAATTGCATCATTCAAACAACTCAAAAAAATTACTTTTTCCAATGAAATGCCATGCCCGAATTAAACCAATGCAAGAAATTAAACTCCTTACCGGTGTGGGAAAGTCAAATACTTTGTCATAGGAACAGTGATAAGATTCCTCCTAGCATTCACAGCCGATTTCTGGACAGCAGCAATAACTTCCTTAGCTTTCCCAACCCCAACACCCACTTGTCCTTGCTTATCACCAACCACAACAATAGCTCTGAAATGCAATTGTTTCCCTCCTTTAACCACTTTAGTAACTCTCCTAACTTGAACCACTCTTTCCTCAAAGCCATCCCTTACCTTCTCTTTCTTAACTTTCCCAAACGCACTTGTTTTCTTCACTTTAGAGTCCATCACGTAAACATCGTTGCCTAAAACGGAGACTCCACTGTAGGCTGGGCCGTAGAGCTCCTCATAGGCACGGCGATTTCGTCTTCGGTTTCGTCGGGGCCATCGTCAAAAGAAGGTGGTGGGGTGAACCCTTCTGGGGGCGTTGGAGGGTCAAAGACCACGTCTTCTTCGGGGTTGACGTTGTCGAAGAAGGAAGTGTCGATGTCGGACGCTTTGGCATTGGTGTCAGCGAAAGGGAGGGAGAATGAGCGGGAGAGAGAAAGGGTTTTAAGGGTCTGAGGAAGAGGAAGGAAGAGGACGGAGTGGGTGCGGGAAGAGTGAGAGAAGAGAGGAAGAGAGAGCCGGGGCTGCTGCTGCTGCTGCTGCTGCTGCTGCTGCCATGGATAAGTGAAAAAGAGTGAACGGAAACAGAGGGCTTATCCCCAAAAGAACAGCACAGTCTAAACGGGTCGGGAGACGATGTAAAAGCAAAACTCAAACTTGCTGCCAATGAACCCATCACCCAAGTCGGAACAATTTCAATCTGGTGCCATGTTGGCAAAAAAATTGTACATTTGTACTTACATCCATGAAAATTACAAAAGGCCAAAAAGGTCGGAAAAAAATACAAAAATGAGAATTTTTTATTTTACTGTTGTAATATGTAATTGAGTTCAGTCATAGTTTAATTGCAATTACTAAAAAAAATTTTAAGATTTGTTGTACAAACCAAAATTGTTTGATGTATTTTTGTCTTAATCCTTTTATCACTTTGAGTTTTTTTTAATAAATTTATTTTTTTCATTTTAATCATGTTTTTCATGAATTTCAATCACCTATAAAGGGAAATTATAGTAAAATTTCCATTTATAATTTGAAATGCTATGTTGTTTGAATAATAAATATACATGAATATTTGATCTTGACATTTTCAAAATTTTACTGTTAAATTTTCTAGTTCGAACATTAAAAAGTTCGACCTCATGGTATCAATATAATGTATTACTCCTTTTGTCTTTTTTTTTTTTTTATCTATCCTTTTTTTTAGATGTTCGTAAATGATTTTTTTTCCATTTTTAGACATCTAATACTCTTATTTCTTTTTAATCTAATATACATTAAAATCAAAATTTTTATTTTTAATTAATCTTAATGAAAATCAAGGAGGGACAAAGAAAAAGAAAAGAAAGCACTACATGTTCATAAATATTATGATCAAGACAGAGTAAGACAGAAGTCTAAGTATAATTTTCTTTTATTTCAATCCCGTTTGGGATATAAATTTAAGTTGAAGCAACAAATTAAGCATTCAAGCAGGCACACATCTAAGCAAGAGAAAGATTCAAAGTTCTCTTTCCTAATGCCTTTCAAAACCAAAAAAAAAAAAAAAATTATTTCCTATACCCTTCACAAATCCAGAAACAATTATGTATCCAAAAATAAATAGAAATAAAGAAAAAAAGAAGAAGAAAATTAGTTGACTATGAATCTCTTTGATCCCATGAAGCTTGCTACTGACATGCTCAAAGTGAAAAATTGTAGTGATTGACATCAGGTAGCATATCAAGACCGCCATAGCAGTCGTCGAAGTTGCTGAGCTGAAAATCATCTACACTCTTGGCCTTACCTCGTAACAATGTTGACGAGGTTTGTAGTGTAGTTGCAGCTATCGGGGTGTAGGTTTCCATGCTAGCAACGCCGTCGGCGTCGGATAGAAAACTCTTGGCTTCCTCAGGCAGTCTATGTGAATAAGCAGCGTCCATAGACAAAGACATAAGGTCGTTAGTTTCTTCTTGTTCCTTGTGTTTGAGCTGTTCTATAAGTAATTCTAAAGATGTTTCTTCCTCATCTCTGGATTGGCATGTAAAAGGCAAGTACATATGGTGGTGGTCGCTGTTGCTGTAGTAGTTGGTTTCATTGTCGGAGTGCTGATGATTGCTTGGAGGCTCGGCAGCAATAATCCTTTCCAACTTTATTATGGAGAAATACTGCTCCACCTCGGGTGGGAAAAAAAAAGGGAAGATACTGAGTTTGAGTGCCATGGCACATGCAGGGTCAAAAGTATAACAAAGAAAGTTTTCAGCATGCTGAATTTATACTCCTCTACTTCGTGCAATTAACAAAGCTAAGATATGCTATTTCTGCATTATAAATTATTGGGTGTTCTTATTTCTCTCTTATGCTGTCAGAAGTTGAAAGAGGAACGCTGAAAAGAAGCATTTCCCCCATTTTCTTCAAACTTTCAACAGATTTTGTCTATATATGAGTTATGCTGTCAAGGGGAACGTGCTTATGCAAGACAAGCTGATGAAGATAGGTACGGTTGTGATGCCAAGACCAAGTCTATGACCTGGTTTAGTCCAGCTCAGCTGCAAAGGGGAGCCGTTGCTCAGCCCCACAAAGCTGCAGTGCTCGTGCGAAGCACGTGCAAAGTCCTAGCTGTCTTTTAGAAAGGCCAGTCTACTGCCAACACATCATCTGTTACGTGTCATTTAAGGCTATGCCTATTTTAATCATTCCAATCCTTTCCCCCATTCTTGTCCTTTTCTCTTCACATCCTTCCAAAGGGGATATATCAAAGGGCATTACTGTCCTCCAGCTAAGCTAAAACATCTTTTTTACCCTTTCCTTGTTCCAATCCCACTATTAGTTTTTAAACAAAATCTTGATTACTAGTATCATGGTAATAATGAAGGAAAGACTCACGAGATTCTTGCTTTCATCCTCATAAAGGGTAAGGGAATCTCCAATTTCCAGTCCATTTTGCTTTACAAAGTCCCCTGGTAAATTGCAAATGAGATTATGAACATAATGAAATTGTAAGTAATAACAAAAAGAAAGGGTTTGGGGCTGAACTAAGGGTCAGTTGGCTTGAAGGGTTTTACCAGTGTTTTCAAGCACATACATTCTACTCTTATTATTGGACCAGAACCTGTGACATCAATGAAGAAAAGCATTTCTATGTGGGTTTAACATCTTTAAGTAGCATATCCAAAGGAAATAAAGATACTACAAAAATGAAGTACCTGCAATACTTACTTGTATTTAAGGGTCCACACTTGGTTAGAGTATACATCTTTGATCATTACTTGGATGCCTTCTTTGTCAGAAAGAGTTGGAAGATTTCCCTCTGCCTCTCTCTGATTAAATTGCAGGAAGCCACGTTAGATAAAGCTCAAACACTAGAGGCTATGACACTTTGGAGTAGAACATAGAGGAAAAAGAGATTGGATAGACAGAAACAAAAAGAGCATCATTTGTAAAATATGAAACAGCATGCAAGATAGTAATAATTGTGCTTGCTAAGTAATAGCATTGGAAGATAATGCCTTTACAAGATTACTAACTCATTCTTTTTCCTTTTACTGTATATTTTGTGCAACAATCGAGCAGTCAAGAAAGGATTGATTAGTTATTGCTGCAGTCTAGATGACAAGAAGTTGCAGTAGTTAATGAGTGGAAATGAAAGAATAGTCATTGGTTGGCTCTTTTACTTCTTTCTCTTTTTTCAAAATTCACTTATATCTTTGCAGGGGGTAAAAAAAGAGAATATATAGATCTGAAAACCAAACAAGCAGGATCAGAGGTGGAAGAACTGGCCTTGAGAATACCCCTTATGGATCAAGTAAACCTCACCTTTGGAAGGACAATTCTCCCAAGGGACCCAACATCACTGTTCTTTAACTCTTTCCTCAGCAACACTCTCAGTCTCTGCATCCCAAGTTAAACAATCTCACTCATCAGTCAAGAACTCAAGATTATGAAAACAATATGCCCAAACATCATTAACTGACAAGGAAAAGAAAACAATCTAAAATCGCAGATTAACTCTTTTCAAAATGCACCTTGTTGTCTGGTGTGCGAAACTTGTACAGATCCCGTTTAGTATCATTGCTGTTATTCACATCAGTACTATTGTCAGCACCAGAGCTGATCAGTCTCCTTACATCCACTTGAGTTGAAGCCCCTGAAGAAGCATTTCTTTGCAAGCTAAGGCTTCTTTGGCGTGCCAGCTTTCGTTTAATCCTTGCAACCTTTGTTCTATAAGGATCCATGATTCTTCTCTCTTGCTCCTTCGATAACCCGTCTGTTTGCATGAAACATGATCCTTGCACCCCATTATTAGCATGAATCGAACTGGATACCCCATATTCAATACCATTCTGCCCAGAAAGAAAGGATACATAGGATATGCTAAAGAGTGACCAGCCTGCTCTATGGGATGTCTGTATGGGGGTTGCAGGCTTTGGAAGGTGCTTCAAACTGTGGTGGATGATGAAACTGAGAGTTTGATGCTGTTGATAAGGGTGTTGAAGTGAAGTTTTTCAAGTTCATTGGTTCATAGATGGAAAACTCTGAATTCTGAGACCAACCCTTGTTTGGTTGCCTCAGGGTGGTATTGGTGGTGGGGGTAAAAGGTGTGTAAGAGTTTTCCATCGGGACAAAGGTGCAATGTGATGATGAGTCTAGGGGATTGAAATGTTGGTGATCAGAGAGGGTTGATGAGAGTGTACTTTGTATGTGTTCTTATTTTGTGTTTGCAGTGAGTACAAATCTGGTTCAAGAAGGTCGTGGGGGATGTAAGATGCTACCAGTAGGGTGAGTCCAGGTGTAAAAGGTATGAGAAACGCGTCAAGTGGTGCAGAGGGGTCGGTGTGGAGAGAGAAAAGGCCACGAAATTGCATATAGAGAGGGTAAAAGAGAGTGAAGAGGGAGAGGTTGCCAATGGGGTGGGGTGGGTGACAGGTGGCCGGCGAAAGGTGGTTTTGGGATACTCATCTGACCACTGAGAGAGCTTGAGAGAGAGTTGGCGCCACCTTTGGTTTAAATGTGGCAGTCTTGGGCTCATCCTGCACAAAACACCATGCATCCTTGGCTAACTCAAACTAATATCCATGGCCTTGTATTAATTCTGTAATCTCTCTCCAAAGGCAACCGTCTGCATTGAACTATATATGTGGTTGGTGGGTTGGGATATTTTGAGTTTTAAAACTTTATAAGAGGAAAAGTGCGTGATTTGATAGTATTGCTATTCCATTGCAGATGGCTTCCTCTTAAGAGGCGAGTTGTCCCACAATCTTGCATTAAGATTAAAAGTCACCTGCAAAAATAGCAGACATACTACCTAGTCTCTGTTTCTTAAATGATAAATTTAAGTTGTTCTAGTAATAGAAGTTCGGATAAAAGTGTGTAGTCTGAGGGTTTGAAGTTGATTATCTTAAAATCATGGGGAGATATGTTGTGATCTCTAGCTTTTGTTTTTTCTAAATCGGATTTAGGTAATGCCTCTACTGTGACTAAAAGCTCGTGGAAAGGTGAGTCATATGGTAGTGAGGCTGAAATCGAAGAAGGAATATCTGCTTCCTTGAGGGTTATCTTAGCTGTTTGTTTAACTTCACGGTGTCCATTATCCGCTCCACTGCACTGCCATTCGGACGCCATATCCAAAGCTTCAGTCCAGTTCAACCTGTGGAAAAGAGAAAATTATTCTTATCTGATACAAGTTTGACACATTGAAGCGCTCAAAAAGAACTAAAAATAGAAAAAACTAGTAGAATAAACACATCGTCAGTTTCATGAGGTGGGCATTTCGTCTGTTGTTTCATGAACACAAATGAATGCCAGTGGTAGAATATATATATATATATATATATATATATATATATATATATATATTATGACTAACATTTACAGAATGCTTTCTTAACTTCGAAGTCTAGGATTTATGGCGGAGCTAACTCATAGACAATATTCTGACTCCCAATTCATTGAAGACGTTTCTCTGTCATTTCAGCATACTTATTATCATTCAATATATGTTGCCATATGGCTAATCTAGTGTAAGAGATTGTTCTTCCTGCTCGGGTGAAAACAGCAATCAGGAATGATGGCAGGGGCAGATGCCAAGTATGAAAATGTCAAGAATCAAGAAAGGCATCCAACATGAAGGTATGAAAACAAATTCTGAGAATTTATGGTTAAAATTAACCTCAAACATGCAAAGTTACAACAAAATAGGTATCTTTATGAAAGAATGATCTTTGCATGAGCATAAAAACTTCTGTGTGAAGATGAAATACGGTATAGCATACAAGCATTGACAATTTCATACTCTGCACAATTCCTCTCTGTTGCTAAGCTGATTATAAACTTGGATTTCGGTCCATCATTATAATGTAGTGCATTAGGTATAGCTTGTATCAATAAAAGCAAAAACAGCATAACCATATGCTTAGCAGGAAAAGTGATATTTGCCTTTGTGGACCTAACAGTATGCACAATGTTCTATCTTCGTTCTAACATAAGCCCTTGAGTAAGAAATCTTCAGTTCAAGAGCAAAATCCTAAGATGAGCATGATGTTTCAAGACATGCATGTACGTTTTGCTCAAAATATATGGCATATGCAGTGGTAACATGAATTTTAGTAATTTTTTCACATTTATGTCTCCCATTTAAAGGAAGAAATAATTGTTAACCTCTTACTATCCTTATTTCCTTTTCCTTCCTAGCCTTTCCATTTGAAGTTTCTTATTCTCACTACATCATATCATCCCATATACAGAAACAGATCTTACAATAAGGTATCAAATATCAGAAAGGAGTGGGAGGGGGGAAGAAGCGGGGAGTATAAGGTAATGCCAAGCCAAGATCAAGAAAAAATGAAGCTTTACAGGTAGTGTTGACTCTACCGACAGTAATAAGTATGCACAAACGTGGTCCAAAATTATGGCAGATAAAAATATAGAATGCAAATAAAGGCTGTAAATTCTAAAATCTGCAATGAAAATGTGAACAGGCAGCCTTAGAAATTGAAAAGCAGGCATATAGAGTTTTGACAAAGAGAACTTAAAAAACAACTTAATATGTTAGCTACCACAAGAATGCTAGCTGCTTAAGAACTGCCATAGCAAAGACAAGCCTGATCATGGAGAATTTTTGCACTTACTTACAGAGCAAGTCACAATTCTCTGTTTGCAGTGGAACGATAGAGAAAAGTCTCCATGTCATCAGAAAGGACCTCTATCCATTACTTATATGAAACTAATGGTTCTACAAAATTATAAACTTCAAACTTTGAGGATTTTGAAACAAGAGAAGCAAATTTGGTAGTGTACCAGACAAGGAGCATTTCAGGAAAGAGTAGAGATAGATGGGCTTGTGAGGCAATACAGGCACAACCTTGAACTATATAGACCAGGAGGAGGAGCTTCATGCAACTGAAGAAGCCTAGGCAGCAACACCTGCCTAAGGTGCCGATAGCTGTCAACATCTAGAATGTAACGCTAAACACGTTGAATGAGTGCCATTATTTTCACTCCACGAAGACAATATTACGTAAGGGGAATCACTTTATCATTCATGTCCACTTCCTTATTTGCACATTCTAGAATAAATATACAAAATACTTGCTCAGAATCAGAGATTGACAAGCATATCCTACAGGCCTGTTCACACTGGTGTTTAGAAATATCATCTTTTGTAGACACCTATGCAAGAGGAGGTTCAAGAACTTTGGCTTTTCGCACAATAAACTAGAACAGCAAGGTAGCATTACAAATAAAGATGGCAGAAAGATATGTATGAAATGGTAATGGATTTGGCAGTCCTTAGAAGCATAGAGGAAGGAGGGGAAGATATTGAAAAGCTCTAACTTTAAAAAGGAGGCTAAAACTGTAAGGGGGTATTAATAAACAACATTTTAAGTGATGATCAAAGGTGGAGCTCTATGACCAGCATCTCATTAACCCTTTATACAATCTGATCTCTGGTTTCAATAGTTTATCTTCAGACTAACTGTTCAAAAGGTCACATTAGGCACCTTCCTATAGTGAAAAAGCTTATAATTGACTGGTGCAGGACCAAGGACCCTCTTCTAAAGCTTTATTTGTTAAGGTTTTCTAGCATCAGGATCAGTGTTGTTATTTTGAAAATTGGAATGTATAATGTCATCCTTAAACAGGCTCTACTTCTATATATACACTGAAGTTACATCAAGTCAAAACATACAGCCCCTTTCATCCCTAGTATATCTTTCACTGAAAGGTATCATATAGAAAAACTATCACAGTATTGAAGTATTAGCTATGCTGATATGTAATATCTGTTTGTGTGATTCTTTCACTCTGAGACCAAATTACATCAAAAAATGAACACCCTATCTCAGCAAAGCACTTGAATCCGCTCTCTGCATTAAATTTCAACTAAAGAAAATTTAAGGACAATTGTGTATGTCATGATTATTCAATTTCAACAAATTAAGTATAATGAGAATAACATTCATAATTGGTTCAAATTAAGAGAAGGGTTGGCCTGTAAAAAGTGATAATTCCCTTCATGGCTTCAAACAAGAGAAGTAAAATAGATAATGGCTTAGAACTTGTATGTTTTTAGCACATAAAGTACTACAAATAAAGGATAAAGATAAAAGATAGGTACCACATATTTGAAAGTGCTGATCATGTGCTTTCTCTAACCGTATTCTCAGCAGCATTGGCTGAATTGCTGTGATATCCGAGAGTGCATTTGACTATCTGATTATAGCCTCCCCTTTTTGCTGTCTTGTGTTGAATACCATTTGAACCGTTACAATCGCTCAAAGACAGAGTATGGCATCGGTTTGACATCGTTGCGGGCCATGTGGGTCGGTCGTGCTTTGATGTTGAAATGAAGTTCTGAGTTGAGATTGAGGCCCAAGGCCCTGGTCCAGACTCACAAAAGTAGATCTCCCTAGGCCTTGGATAAGGAAACCAATACGACTAGAGAAATGTAATGGGTTATCTACTGACAGAATCGACCCAACAAAGCTCTATCCCTTGGGCCAACGTATGTGAACCTAGACCTGACTTTTCAGGCTGGGTCGATTTAGCCAGGGGAACCTGGACCCTGGGGGCTTGGAAGGTGTTTTGGAAATGAAAACCATGTGTTGACTTGTTGAACCGAACAAGACCCTCAAAAATTACACATGTCCAACACGTGGCATCCAATGCTATGACATGTCAGTTAGGCTGCCACCTGCTTCTTCTCTTCCTCCATATAGTTTGCATGGCTAGATAAGAAGAAGGAACTAAGGAAAGAGAAACTACCTTAAGAAGACACCGTTCGAAGAAAGTACAGATCCTCAATCATGGCAGCCACGTTCATAGCCAAGAGCGCGATGTTCCGTCTTTCGAAAGCGTTTCCTCGAACTTCATCCCTAAGATCCTCCCACAGTCTCACGAGTCTGCTTCACTACCACCGGCTGCAAACACCAAGAGGTAAAACCAAAAACTTCACTTCGAATGTATTTTGTGGAGTTTTCAGTGATGATTTCATAGCTAAACACTTTCTGGTTTGTTGGTGAAGCCGTTTGCGCTGATTATCCTAGAATTGGTCTTTTCAATTTCAGGGCAGAAATGCGTATGAAGAAAGAGACCCAAAAGCTGACATGGCCCACAGGGGAAAGGATTATTCATCATCATCAGACGCAGAAGCTGAGATGGCCTATGTAGCTGAAGATGACTCCGAAGCAGCCATAGAAAGAGCAAAAGAACAAGCACGGGAAGCGAAGGAGAAAGCGAAAGAATATGCACACAAAACTAAGGAGAAAATAAAATGTTATGAAAATTATCTAAGAAACAACAAAAATAAAATTCAAAAAAATCAAGTAAATAGAAAAACATGGTTTGGTTTTTTTTTTACTTTTACAAGATAAAATTATTTTTTTATTATTGAGAAATTAAAGTATAATAAATTGATTTTTATGATTTCTCAAATCAATTTAAGATTTTTTGTACATTTTTTCTCAATAACCTCTTAAGAACACTTACTCAAATCACTTTAATTCCATCTAAAGTAAAAGACAAAGTTACAAAATGTCTCTTTTCTATAGCTCTCAAAGCATTACCTCTAATTTTAAAGTTTAAAATTTATTTTTATAATATAAAAGTTTAAAATATAATATAATTAGAACTTAATGTGAAATAAAAATTTTAAAATCATACAACTATTCATTATTGTATACAAACAAGAATTTTAATTAAATAAGATTTAGAATACTAGTCAACTTAAAACTTAAGAAATCTTCACCTTTGATTTGAATTCAAATTTCTTAAAACTTCTTCCACCAGTCACACTTAATTGCAACTTCCTAACTCCACTTACTTTCCAACACCTTAGACAATTCTCTAAGCATAATACTTTCCAAATCATTGGCCTTTATAATTATCACAACTACACATACTGAATCAAGCATGATCCTACACTTAATTTCATAAAAAGGCCAATGCACCTGTGTAGCAGTCAAATCAAGTGCACTAATTGACTTCGAAAAGGGACCTCGATGACCCTTTCAATTCACTACTGACAAGATTCTTTGTCCTTTCATCATTGTCTACACCATGGGAACCTTTCATCACCTTCTCGACAAATAAAATCTCACTTTGGTAACTACCATCTCCTCAGCACTATTCTCATCCCTTCGAGGCTTCACATTCTAGATGATATAAGCCATTATATAAATTTTCCCTCATCAGGACCATGTCTCCTTATGTGACTTTTACCATTCCATCACAAGCAGAATATCTATAACCTTTGGAGTCTAACAGGCTCAATAATATTAGATTCTTATGCAGCTCTAGGACAAAAGCCACACCACCCAAAGAGCATACAACCCAATTAAACATTTTGATTTTCACCACTCCAAGACCCATGACATTCACTATTGACTTATTACTCAAAGTTAAATTTTCACCCACCCCTTCTTGAAGTAAATCAAAATAATATTCTTAATAACATATGTAAGTGGTAGAAGCAAAATCTAAATATCAATCAGAATTTGCATCTATATTTTCTGAGATTGGAAGGACATCACAATCATCCCTTTCAGCAATGAAAGCACACTCACCTTTATTCTCGTTACTTTCATCCCCTTTTGTAAGACAATCCTTTTTAATATGTCTATACCTTTTATATTGAAAGCACTGAACATTGTTGGATCTAGACTTGCCACCTTTAGATCCCATATCGGTTGATTTCCTCTTACAAACCTCAGTTACTAATGATAAGCCACTTGGATTTCTATCCCCTTCCTTACTTTTCTTTCGAGCTTCACGAGACATTAACGTTGCTTATTTTTGTTCTAACGTTATTGTATTCATCTCACATATAAGATATTCCACAAATACCTCATAAGAGTCTAGAAGTGAAGTCAGGAACAACAATGCCTTTTTCTCTTCGTCCACTTTCACATCAACTTTCTTCAATTGATCAATGTTCCCATCAAATTCATTTATATATTTCATGAGGTCTTCAAAGTCGAAAAGTGCTCACACACCTTTGCTCCAACTCTACCTATTTAACATCATTCATGTCATCTGGTTACTTTTCTCCTTTCCTAGCAAATGGCACATTAAACCTTACTGCACAAGGAGATCTTTCATCCTTTTTTACCACTGCGTAAAAGTAGAATTCCCATCAAACTTCTCAATTAAAAAATTTATAGAACTAGTAACTTTCGACATCCTTGTTGAATTTTGAATTTACTGAACCTGAAGCTTTGATACTAGTTTCTTATGAAAATTGCTCAAAAAATAACAAAGATAAAACCCAAGAAAATCAAACAAACAGAAAAACAGAAGAATTTACGTGGTTTGGCCTCTTACCTATGTCCACGAAGTGAAATTATTCTTTTATTATTGAAAAATTAAAATACAATAAACTGACCTTTATAGTCCCCCAAACCAACTCAAGGTCCTTTGCACACTCTTTCTCAATAATTCCTAAGAACACTCACCTAAACTACTCTAACTCCATCTAGAGCAAAAAACAGAGTTACAAGGTGTCCCCTCTATACAGCTCTCAAAATACTACTTACAATTCTAAAACCTAGAAATCCACTTTTATAATATAAAAGTTCAAAATAGAATGTGATTAGAACTCGATATAAAATAAGAAGTTTAAAACCATACACCTATTCAATATTGTATACAAACAAGAATCTTAATCAAAGAAGATCCACAATTCTAGTTAACCTAAAACTCAACACAAAAGAAATTACTGAATCGACGGTTGAGAAAGCAAAAGAAGTAATGAATAGAGCGGCTGAGATTACCCAAAGCACCAAAGAGAAAGCGAAACAGAAAGCCAACAAGTATGCTCATGAGACCAAGGAGACGACAAAGAAAGGAATAGAGAAATCATCCAAGACTATCCAAAGCGCAAAGGAAAAGGCCAAAGAATATGCGCAGGATACCCAGAAGACCACCTAAGAAAGCACAGAGAAAGCTTCACGAACTGAAAGAGAAGCTAAAGAAAAAGCACACGGTGTGAAAGAGAAGACTGAGGAGATTGCTGGTTCTTCGGCCACCAAGACCTTAGAGACAATGCAAAGTATTAGGGAGAAGGTAAAACAGATAGTGTAAGGAGCATGGGACGCCGTCAAGGGGACAACGTAAAAGATCCAAGAGATTGGGGTTGGAAAGAATGAGGAGGACGTGGAAGTGAAGAGGATGGATGACAATGTTGTGGAATTGAGGAGGCGTGCTAGAACAGAAGATGATGAAAGAAAGAACTGAAAAGAAGTTTGTTGGGTGTTTTCTCATTATCGTTCAAAGCAAATAAGTTGTGTGTGGTAGCCTAATGGTTACAATAGTGTTTAATTATGTAAGCATGGCAAGTTAATATTTGTCACGTTAATCTGCTAAAACTATCAGCATTTATGTTCAAAAATAGTAACGGTGCAATTAAATATGGAGGAGGAATATTGGGTTCTAATTCCTTTGTTTTGGTTCCTAAGATCTAACCGATATAGTAAGGGTTTGTCTGGATTTGATGGGTTAAAATCATCAATATAGTGTTGAATCAAGTATAATAGTGTTTGATTTAGATGAACTTTTGGTTCAAAAGGGCCATTGTCAACCTGATGGCATTGAATTTCTGGAGAGTGCATGTGGCACCAAGAGACAAGGCAAGCCCAAACAATGAACACGGAATACCCCCTGTTTACACCCTTCGAGTTTTGCCCTTTGTTAGGACTTACAATTCTTGGTCTAGCTCGAGCAGTGGCCGAAACACAAGCCCAAAAAAATAGCAAAGCAGTGATCCAGCAGCCCAAAAGAAAAAGACATGTTGGCCCGAACATCCCGTTTTTCAAGTCTCAGAAACAGGGAAAAAAGGTAGTGAACATGGTGATCAAATCCTGAACGGCGAAACACCAACAACAAGCGCCACCTAGCTGCCGAAGCCACCCCCACGTTGGGGACCACGTCCAAAGATGGGGTCCACAGAAATGACCAGTGCACATAAGAAAATGATGGACTCAAACACAGGCAAGCGTTTTTTCTTTTCATTTCTCCTTGACCACAAACCAAATCCCAAATGGAACGGAAGTGAAACAGATACGCTAATGTTTTGTCTTCAATGTGGAGGCCTGGGGTAGCAGTTGTGACCCCTTCCCTGTTCTGTTCTGCCCTCTCCTCTTCAGTCACTTGGCTTGGGGCACGTGCCCCTCCCGCCCTCATAACGCCCCCCATTTCTGTCAGAGTCAAAAATACTGACGTGATTGTTATTAGATTTTAACTTTGTACTTCAATACCATTACTACCCTTTCATATAGTTTTGTTTTTAGTGACTGTTGTTTGTATTAATGCTTCTAGAGCGAGCTAGTTACCTTAATTGGTACATCTGGTTGTATAAAAACTTAGGACCAAACCTTACATTAATTGAGATTTGATGGTCTACATTTCCTAAGAAATATAATTAATTTTATATTTAAGTATTTGATTTTAACCGTAAGTGTATATATTCAAAATCTCTTATTTCCAATGATAATTATGTATTATAAATTGATTACTTTCAGTAGATGAACTTTAATCTAAACCAAAACTATGTCAAAAAAATGGAAAATAGCTAATAAAAAAAAAATTAAACATGACGTTTTAAGTGAAAATTCAACTCACAATATTCTTATTATTACTATAATAATAATAATAAATAACTTGGTAGATATCATGAATAACATGGTACATATCTAGCACTATGCAGCGATGGAAGGATAGATCAAGTAGGAGTAGCTATTACATTGTTTAGGACTACATTTAATCTACTGTTACACTTGTAAACACACAAGGTTCACTGAAAGTGACTTAATGAATATGCAATGTAAAAAAGTATGAAAAAATTTCAAGATTTCCTTGAATGGAATTAACATAGAGAAACATTACAATATAAAAAATATAGTTTCATATTACTAAAATCAG